GATGACTTATACAACTTTATACAGCATGAAGAGAAAATGTGGTGTTGGTGCATTTGTGAGTGCACAAAGAATACCTTGCTGTTTGAATCTGCTTCCAGGCAAAAGATAAGCAGATTATTTCATGTTATATACTCTCTTTGATAAAAATGTGCAATTTTGAATCATTTTCAACATTGCTATTTTTATGCTACACACATAATCCTCTTCGCTAATCGTGTTTGCAAGGGTTTGTTGTGGGAATAAAAGCTATATACTGTATGGATGATTATTTTTTCTGCTTTTTAAGAATGTGCTTTCAGTGACATTTGCTGACATGGTGAAATTAATATTTAGAAAGTAGTTTCCCTGACATCTAGCTGAGATGGTTAATTTATCATTAAGCCTGGCTTGACAGCATGAAACTGGTTGCTTTACAATTTACAGTACTCCAAGATGTATTTCTCTAATAGCTGCATATATGCTGAGCTATTTGCACATGCCAGTATTTTTTAGTAGTGGGGAATTAGTACTGAGATCTTCAGGGATTCAGACCTCAAATTAGCTGACTTTAAATGTCAGCTGGATACAGAAATCAAAGTATAGAAGCAGTGTGTGATTAGGACCTGACTGTTATGCGTTATTCAACTATTTTAATACTATATATTGTCGAAGGCTTTTATGGCTGGAATCACTGGGTTGTTGTAGGTTTTTCGGGCTATATGGCCATATTCTAGAAGCATTCTTTCCTGATGTTTCACCTGCATTTATGGCAAGCATCCTCAGAAGTTGTGAAGTCTCACGACATGGCCATATTTTAATACTGTTCATGTGGATCTATTGAGACACTTGTTCTTAATGTTTGTCCCTTAGCAAAATGTGCACTTAAAAATGAATGGGGTGCCAGAGGATTTAGTGATGTATCTTGGCATTTTATTGAAATGACATTATTTCTCCAAAATGAAACTATCCTGGTTCAAAACTTTCTCAAAAGTTTACAGTCACAATTCTGCAGTCACAATGGAAGATGCTATTCTAGGAATTTATTCTTAGCTATAACAACCCCATCTAGTGTACATTTCCTAATATTGCTTTTGTTTCTTTTTTCTGTCTTTTTAGTACTATTAGACAAAATGTCAAATTCTTCTGATTCTTTCCATATTATTTCATAGAAACTTAGAATCATAGAGTTGGAAGAGACCTCGTGGGCCATTCAGTCCAATGGGAGGCATATATTCCATGCCTCCCATTTTCAGATGATCGTATTAAAAAGATCTGGACAAATTGCAAATTTAACCTAAAAATCTGAAGTGTCCTTTCAAAATTCTTCAGACGTAAGCAGTTTATTAATGTTTGTAAGTAAGCCAATATGTTAGTCAATAAATAAGTAAAATAATTTATAAACACAATGCTAATTCATCATGTGATATGTTGCTAAAATGACACATGACACAGAGCAGCACCTATATTAATTTCCAAGTACAGAAAAGAATTAGCTTTCAGACATATACATCATGTAACAGACACAGAAAACTTTTATAAGTTCCAAAAGCTGACTCATTAAAAGTAACTGCTTTCATATGTAAGATGCATTTTGACTGTGTTGTCCTCTTCAGTGGCATCACTGACAGCTTAACTTGGTTGTTATAATCAATCTACCCCACAATATATATTAGACTTAGCGTTTCTTAAAAGGCTTTCTTTAAAGTCCAGCAGCACTGTGAGGGTGTTAGCACTGTCTGTATCTAGGTGCATTCAATTTTCAGATAATAAGTTTAGATTACTCACATCTTTCAACAATAGAAGTTAATACCAATGGGAGTTAATTATTCACCAGCCAGGAATGAATCTCACAAGGTACAATAATCTTATTCCTTAAAAATGGTGATACTTTTTGCTGTCATGCCATGCAGCTGCCCTACTGCAATGGGGTTTTTTTTTTTTTACTTTTATCTGTTGAGGCAAAACAAATACCTTGGGGGGGAAACCAGAGGCGAAAACTGGGTCTTCATGAAAAACCTCTGCTTCTTTTGTGCCAGGAAGAATGGCAGCTCCAGACCAAGATACCTTAGAACTGCTTACCTGTCTAAACGTATCTCTTGCTATGAACCATCATGAAGATTAAGATAGTTCCAGCAGATTGAAGGAGGGCCAATGTGGTCCCAATCTTCAAGAAGGGAAAAAAGGATGACCCAAATAATTACCGTCCGGTTAGCCTCACGTCGATACCAGGCAAGATTCTGGAAAAGATTGTTAAGGAAGTGGTCTGCAAACACTTAGAAACAAATGCGGTCATCGCTAATAGTCAACATGGATTTATCAAAAACAAGTCATGCCAGACTAATCTGGTCTTTTTTTTCGATAGAGTTACAAGCTGGGTAGATGCGGGGAATGCCGTGGATGTAGCGTACCTGGATTTCAGTAAGGCCTTCGACAAGGTCCCCCATGACCTTCTGGCAAACAAACTAGTCCAATGTCATCAAGTTTGCAGACGACACCAAATTGGGAGGGATAGCCAATCCTCCAGAGGACAGGAGCAGAATTCAAAACGATCTTGACAGATTAGAGAGATGGGCCAAAACTAACAAAATGAAGTTCAACAGGGACAAATGCAAGATACTCCACTTAGGCAGAAAAAACGAAATGCAAAGATACAGAATGGTGGACAATGCCTGGCTCGAGAGCAGTACGTGTGAAAAAGATCTTGGAGTCCTCGTGGACAACAAGTTAAACATGAGCCAACAATGTGATGTGGCGGCAAAAAAAGCCAATGGGATTTTGGCCTGCATCAATAGGAGCATAGTGTCTAGATCTAGGGAAGTAATGCTACCCCTCTATTCCGCTTTGGTTAGACCACACCTGAAATATTGTGTCCAATTCTGGGCACCACAATTCAAGAGAGATATTGACAAGCTGGAATGTGTCCAGAGGAGGGCGACTAAAATGATCAAGGGTCTGGAGAACAAGCCCTATGAGGAGCGGCTTAAGGAGCTGGGCATGTTTAGCCTGAAGAAGAGAAGGGTGAGAGGAGATATGATAGCCATGTATAAATATGTGAGAGGAAGCCACAGGGAGGAGGGAGCAAGCTTGTTTTCTGCTTCCTTGGAGACTAGGACGCGGAACAATGGCTTCAAACTACAAGAAGGAGATTCCATCTGAACATGAGGAAGAAATTCCTGACTGTGAGAGCCGTTCAGCAGTGGAACTCTCTGCCCCGGAGTGTGGTAGAGGCTCCTTCTTTGGAAGCTTTTAAACAGAGGCTGGATGGCCATCTGTCAGGGGTGATTTGAATGCAATATTCCTGCTTCTTGGCAGGGAGTTGGACTGGATGGCCCATGAGGTCTCTTCCAACTCTTTGATTCTATGATTCTATGATTCTATGATCATTGAGGGAGACCCATCTCTCAGTCCCACCACCCTCACAAGCATGACTGGTGGGGACAAGAGACAGGGCCTTCTCAGTGGTGGACCTTTGTCTGTGGAACTCCCTCCCCAATGAAATCAGGTCAGCTCCCTCCCTCCTGTGCTTTAGGAAAAAACTTAAAACATGGTTGTGGGACCAAGTGTTCGAACAGTAGATGCAACAAATGAGAGTGATTTTTTATGATCGACAATGGATTGACCTGGATTATGATTTTGAACTTGCATGATTTTAGATGGATGTTTTAATAATTGATGTTTTAACTGCTTTTTTTAAATGTAATTGTTTATTTATAATTTATGTGATGGCATCAAAAGGTTTCCTGTTATGAAGCTACCCTGAGCCTACCTCCGGGGGTAAGAACGATGGGGTACAAATATGCGGAATAAATAAATAAATAATCAAAGGGTGATGATTGCTTCCCTGGTGGTTTATCATGGGAGAAGTCTGCATTCTCCCATCTTTGCCCAGCCTCTTAGAAACTATGTTTTGAATTGTGTTTATTTCTATAAACAGTTGAATTGCATTATAAACATAACTTTTGCAAGCTTTTACCAACATATGTTTTTACTTGGAATTTTTTCCATTTTGGATACCACCTGGAATCCCTTAACAGAATAGTCAACAAAGACAATTTAGCATTCAGAATTGTGTTCTGAATTGGGTTCATGCTCTTGAAAAAAGTTTATCAAATAAATCTGGTTTTATTTGCATTGGGTGTTTGTTGTGAAACGCTTCTCAAGTTTGCTGCAGATTGTATTTACAATATCTTTCAGAGATATAGATTGTGCAGCCCTCCAGTTGTTGCTAGATTATATCACACAACATCCTTGAACAATGATTATGCTGGCCTGTTGGACTGCAATCCCCAGGAGCCTTAGTATTGTAGCATCAGTTAATTTTGCTGGAAAATGTCAAAGATACAAAGGTCTGTACAGTACCTTCTGGTGGCTCAGTTAAGGAAAATACTGGAGTTCCAACCAAGTGGCAAGGGAAATCATGAGTCCTGAAAAATCTTCAGTTATCGGATCAAAGGACACAAACATTTTCTCACACAAGATATTAATTGGATTTATTAATATTAATATTAATATTAATATTAGTAGTCTCCAAGGAGAAAAGGGCCTCCTGGTGGTGCTGTAGGTTAAACAGTTGAACTGCTGAACTTGCTGACTGAAACATTGGCAGTTCGAATCCAGGGAGCAGAGTGAGCTCCTGCTGTTAGCCCCAGCTTCTGCCAACCTAGCAGTTTGAAAACATGCAAATGTGAGTAGATCAATAGGTACTGCTTCTGCGGGAAGGTTATGGCGCTCCATGCAGTCATGCCAGCCACATTACTTTGGAGTTGTCTATGGTTCTTCGGCTTAGAAATGGAGATGAGCACCACCCCCCAAAGTCAGATACAACTACACTTAATGTCAGGGGAAACCTTTACCTTTTACAAGGAAAAAAACTGAAATTAGGATTGGTTGGAAAGAACTAAAGGCTTATCAGTTCTTCTCCTTTGGCTGATTTGTGATCCTCAAGATTCTGAAGTTGCCATATTTATTTTTTGCAGCAGTGCTTACCCTTTTGTTTACTTATGTGTCTGTTGATCTTTCAGGTTATGGCAATGTTGTTCACATCTGGATGGCCACTGGCAGTGTTTGTGACCATTTGCCTTGGGTTACTGAAGTTTACCCAAGCGGGTGCCTACTATGGGATCAAGCAGATGCCTCCCCAAGTGCCACAGTACCAACCCCTTGGACAACAAGTACCTCACATGCCATTGGGCAAGGATGCCCTTCCAATGCAGCACATGGTCAAAGAGGGACCACATCTCCCATATGGAAAAGAATATGTGCCTCAGTACATAAAAGAAATTCCACAGATACCCATGCTAGGCAAGGAGAGACCTTCCAAAAAAGAGAAAGGTACAATTGACAAGAACTATACTGTCTTTCCTTATACTGCCTTCTCCTCTATTAGGGCAAGAATAATTTTTCCTTTTCATAACATCCCACCAATGATTCTGGGTCAACCCTCAGGCCCCACAGGTATGGAAAAATAATCTCTGTGGGACTCCAACCGTTGAAAGTAAAAACATTGCCCACTCTGCAGAAATTTAAAATGGACCAGCCATTTGAATCTGTTTCTACTCTTGTGGCAGCAAGAGTAGAAATAGAATGGACAGAGCTGCATATCTCTGACTGAGCAATTGGCCTTCTGACTAGAGATTCTGGGAACTGTATTTCAAACGTGACATTTCCCAGTTCTTGTTTTCAGCAGTAGTTCTTTTTAGGAATATATTGGAAAAAATCCCCTAAAATTGGAGGAATCAATAATCTGGGGTATGTTGTTTAGAAACAATTATATTAAAATGCCACTATGTTTATCATCAAGTCACCAAAAATAGTATCATCTACACAACCAATAATTGTATACCTAAAGCCATTCTGTTTGAAGTGCATAGGTGATTTGCATTAGTTAACTTTCTTCTCTTTTTCTGTCTTCTCTCTCTAAAGCAGAAATTCCATTTGCCCAGTTGCGAGGTGAGCGTGGTCCACCTGGAGAGCCAGGACCAAGAGGCCCACCTGGACCTCCAGGAGTACCAGGACATGGAGTTCCGGGGACCAAAGGCAAACCAGGCCCACAAGGATACCCAGGGATTGGCAAGCCGGGCATGCCTGGAATGCCAGGGAAAGCAGGAGCAATGGGGCCTCCTGGACCAAGAGGTGAGATGGGGCCAAAAGGAGAGATTGGACCAATGGGCATTCCAGGACCCCAAGGACCACCAGGACCTCATGGATTACCTGGGATAGGAAAACCAGGAGATAGGGGATTGCCAGGACCACCTGGAGCAAAGGGGGAGCCTGGAATTAAAGGTCCACCTGGAATGCAAGCCCCCCCAGGTCCCAAAGGGGATAAAGGTGTTGGGATTCCAGGGCTACCAGGGTTAAAAGGGCCTCCTGGTTTGCCTGGTCCTCCAGGTCCTGTTGGACTTCCTGGGATAGGCAAGCCAGGCATGATTGGTTTTCCAGGCCCACAGGGACCTGTAGGTAAACCGGGGCTGCCAGGAGAGCCAGGTCCTCAAGGGTTGGGTGGAGCTCCTGGTATTCAAGGGCCTCCTGGCCTTCCAGGTATAGGAAAACCAGGTCAAGATGGGATCCCAGGACAGCCAGGCTTTCCAGGTGGAAAAGGTGACCAAGGCTTGCCTGGCTTGCCAGGACCTCCTGGTCTACCTGGGATTGGGAAGCCAGGCTTCTCTGGGCCTAAAGGGGAGCGTGGCATGCCTGGTCCTTCAGGGCCAATTGGGCCCAAAGGTGAAAAAGGCCATGTGGGACCACCTGGCATGGGTGGACCACCAGGTGAGCCAGGCCAGCCAGGATTGCCAGGATTGATGGGCCCCTCTGGTGCCATGGGGTTCCCAGGTCTCAAAGGGGAAGCTGGAGCTATCGGTCCCAAAGGACCTATTGGTCCAAAAGGTGATGTTGGTTTACAAGGCTTCACTGGAAAGCCCGGCTTCCCAGGGGAGGTGGGACCTCCTGGTCTGAGAGGTTTGCCTGGTCCAATGGGACCTAAAGGGGAAGCTGGTCACAAAGGTTTGCCAGGCCTGTCTGGTGCTCAGGGGCCCATGGGACCCAAAGGAGAACCTGGAATTCCAGGAGCCCAAGGTCACCAAGGACCTTCTGGAATCCCAGGTATTGCAGGACCGAGTGGCCCCATTGGACCTCCTGGACTTCCTGGGGCTAAAGGTGAACGGGGCCTACAGGGCCCACCAGGGTTTCCAGGAGTGGGAAAACCTGGCATTGCTGGCATACAAGGACCACCTGGAAAGCCTGGATCAATTGGTGCTCCTGGCCAGCCAGGCCTACAGGGACCTCCTGGGCCCCCAGGGCCTCCTGGCCCTCCAGCAATCGTACAACCCACACCGGCAGCCATGGGACAATATTTGCCTGAGATGGGTCCAGGTGTTGATGGAGTGAAGACTCCATATGGCTACATGCGGAAGAAGAACAAATATGGTGCTGCTGCTTTGGAGATGCCAGCTTTCACAGCTGAGCTCACCACCCCTTTCCCAAGGGTTGGGGTACCTGTGATGTTTGACAAGCTTCTCTATAATGGCAGACAGAACTACAATCCCCAGACGGGCATCTTTACCTGTGAAATCCCTGGGATCTACTACTTTGCCTACCATGTACACTGCAAAGGGGGGAATGTTTGGGTGGCTTTATTCAAGAACAACGAGCCACTTATGTACACATATGATGAATACAAGAAAGGCTTCCTGGACCAAGCTTCTGGAAGTGCCGTTATTCAGCTGATGCAAGGAGACCGAGTATATATCCAGATGCCCTCCGAACAAGCAGCAGGACTCTATGCTGGGCAATACGTCCACTCATCTTTTTCAGGATATTTATTGTATCCCATGTAAACCAAACACTTGGACAAAACAAAAACTCTTTTTTCTGTGTTTCAAACCTATACCATTGAAAAATGCATTTAATGAATCTTGCTTTATCTTGTTTTGGACCAACATGTACAATCATTCAAATAGAATTACAATTTTAAATACAGCTTGTTATGAAGGAAAAGAAAATGGCAAGAAGCCTAATGAGAAATCTTGTTTGCTCATGTACACTGAACATTTTCAGCATTTGTCTGCTTGAAGATTATGCCCTATTGGAGTTCTCATGACTTGCTTCCTCATCTGTTCCTTCTATTGTTTGTTTACCTGAAAAATCTGCTAAAATTGTCCTTCTTTTTATAAAACACACACACACAAAATAGATGTCTGGGTGTTATACTTAGGATTTTTTAAAAACTAGAACAATACTGATCGTCTATGATACTACAATACAAGCCAAGGTCTGTGATATTACAATAAAAGCCAAAAGATTATGCTTTCCCAAAATCCCAATTTTCTTTAATGCCATGATTTCTAAGAAAGTTAAGAAAATTCAAAGTCAAGTATTAAATACGAAAAATATTGATACTAAGTCAACTAAAATCCAAGGAAAAACTCCCTAGTATTTTTTTTCAGTGAACCATGAGTCCTCATTGGAGCTGTCACCGAACACTTCAATAAGTCACTAGATAGATCTGTGAATTTCAGATAAAACTTTAGGGCAGAGTGTTTTATCTGATGGGAGGCCACTTTATATTAGTATAGGCTCATTGCTACTACCACACAGCGCGGTCAGTGTACCTCTAGACATTGATATAAGGAATGGCAAGGTGCATAACATTAAGAAGAGTGTATCTTGAGTTGTGGATATAAAATGATTGATCCTAAACAAGCACCATGTTCAGTCAAAGTCAACATGCTTTGGTTACTGGTTTGTTATAGGTTTTTTCGGGCTGTATGGCCATGGTCTAGGTTTGGTTATTTTGGCTTCAAGAATGAAGAACTACATGCATATATATCTCAGTACCAGAATTGGTCATACCATTAGTTTGAGAAAGGTTATCCCACCTTCCTCCCAAGTGGCAGATGGTAAGTAGAAAGAGAGCAGCAGTAAAGGTTGGAGGACAAAGCTGGGTGTATTGCCAACCCTGTCTTTCATCCTGCTCCCAAAAGTAACCCACTGCACTCCAGCACACTGGAGGATGCTGTCTGCAGGGCCTCCATGAAGTGGAAATGTCTCTTACACTGTAAGCCACCTGAGGTCCCATGCCAGGAAAAAAGTGAGATATAAATCTATCTCTACCCATCTATCTAACCATCTAACTATCTAGCTATCATCATCACAAGCACTGAAGTAAGAACCAGCTTTTCAGTCTGCTTCCTCAAATAATAGGTGTAGCTTCTATTTTGTCCTTTGCCTGACATGCAACATGACTTGGATAAGAAGAGCCTTGTTGGGTTAGACCAGGGATCCTCAAACTTTTTAAATAGAGGGCCAGGTCGCAGTCCCTCAAACTGTTGGAGGGCCAGATTATAATTTGAAAAAAACATGAATGAATTCCTATGCATGCTGCACATATCTAATTTGTAGTGCAAAAGACACTTAAAAACAATACAATAATTAGAATGAACAATTTTAACAAATATAAACTTAGTATTTCAATGGGAAGTGTGGGCCTGCTTTTGGCTGATGAGACAGGATTATTATTGTTGTTGTTGTGTGCTTTCAAGTAGTTTCAGACTTAGGTTGACCCTGAGTGAGGGCTGGGTAAATGACCTTGGAGGGCCGTATTTGGCCCCCGGGACCCCAGGGGTTTGAGGACCCCTGGATTAGACTAAAGGTCTAATTAATACAGCATTGTGTTTGAACAATGGCCAAGAACTAGAAGTCTGTGGGAAAATTATATTAAGGATCCGAAGGCAATCAGTCCCTTATTTTCCCCAGCAACTGAATCAGTAACCACTAGGAATAATTGACTAGGAATAATTGATAACTCCTTTAAAAGCTGAACCACACATATTGTTCCAATCCTGTAGTTTGTTGGACATTTCACTCTCCAGACTTTTCAGCTCAATATCTCCCCACAGAAGGAAGACATGGGCACCTGCCCTTCTTCCGTTCAGGAAAAATGGCTTGAGAAAAACCTGTCAGTGGAAAGAACTGATAGCATTTGCTCTTGAGCTCATGTACATAGATGACAGTTGTGTGTATATGAAAGTAACAAGATGCTCTGGCCAGTTCGTCTTTCTATCTGCCTCTCTCTTTCTCTCCCACTGCAAAACTTCTATTTAGAGTTGCAAGTGGAAAAGCTGTTCTGGTCTCCAAACCTAACATTATAGAGCTTGGGAAAGTCCTTTTAAAAAAAAACCTTAAGCGTCCGAGGGGGAAAAGGAAAGGTCCTGAGGCTGTTAGGAATTGTGGGAGTTGAAGTCCAAAACACCTGCAGGGCCAAAGTTTGCCCATGCCTGCCATAGTTGGACTAAAGTTATTGCACTCAATGAGCAGAGCAATTTCAACCATTTACTCAACTGTGTTCTCTCAAAGCTTTTAGCAGCATCTGCTGAAATTATTTTAATAAAATGGTGCTTTTCAACAATCATATCACAGGCATTAGATTTAAACAATACTAGAGGTTTTCAGGACCTCTACAGTTCAGCTCAGTGATTCTTCAACCCCTCTATGTCTTTTCTAAAACCTGTATGTTCAACTGACAAGAGTCTTCGTTCTGAATTAATGTGGACTCAGTGAATCATTATGAATCAAAACTGGCATTTTTGTTATTTAAATACAGAGTTTAATGCAATAAAACATCAGCACAAGTCTGCATGAGATGTGATGTTAGAAAAACCAGAGCTTCTATAGGTTGTTGAGGAAAATTGGTACATTATAAATTGGGGTACCTTGGATCAGATGCTAAGATAAATATATGGAAGAGATGAAAATAACAAATAGTTTTGTATTTAATTTTTTGTATTGATTGGAAAAGATCTTATTAAATATCTTTTTTAAATGTTTCTGCATATTTATTTCTTGTCATTCTAAACAGCACAAACAGAGCATGGATAGCTAAGATTTCAAATTCCACCTGTTGAAATATAATAATAATAATAATAATAATAATAATAATAATAATAATAATAATAATCTTTATTTCTAAACCTCCCTATCTCCCAAAAGGTACTCGGAGGCGTACAACAAAAGATCAGCAAACATTAAATGCCTGAGAAAGATAACATATTAAGCACTTCAAATAATAAACAATCAAATAGACAGCATCAGGATTGTCTTATAAAACAACTCAATAACAAGTGTGAAATTTAAATATACAAAGTAAAATAATTGGGACACATTTCTCTAATGACTCTAATAATGATCAGAGGCAATTAACACATTTTAAACAAATCATACAGTTAACAATAGGCCATCTGGATGCAGGTAGGTCTTTGTGAGCTGAGTCAAAATTTAAATAGAGTACTAGTCCTCCTCCTCTCTGTATGCTTGAGTACACAAGTGAGTTTTTAACCACTTCTTAAAGGACAGGAGAGAAGGCGAAGTTTCAGTTCTTTTGGGAGGGAGTTTCAGAGGCGAGGAGCAGTCACTGAGAAGGCCCCCTCTTTTGTTCCCACCAGTCGTGCTTGAGATGGGGGTGGGACTGAGAGAAGGACCTCCTCTGCAGATCGCAGTGCTCGTGTTGGTTTATATGCAGAGAGGGTTTTTTTGTTTCAAACATCACAAAACATCAAACTCTGACAACCCCTACATTTAACTCACTAATAGCAGCGCATAACCCCGGATGGAGGTTACAGCTTTGTTCTTGTCAGTAGAGCTAGGTTGGTCTATAGCAGGGGTTCTCAAACCTTTTCAGCCGTGGAGCCCTTTCTGAAGCAAAGATTTCTTGTGGAGTACCAAGAAAGGTTTATATTTTATAAATTGTATTATATATAATGTGTATCTGTCAGTAATAGGAGCAACCCCAGGGGCCATCCAGTCCAACCCCCTTCTGCCATGCAGGAAAAGTACAATCAAAGCACACCCAACAGATAGCTACCCAACACATAAAATCCTTGGGAAATAGGGTTTTGGAAGCAAGCAAGGCAAGGGGGAAAGGATCTGGGTGGCGAGGAAGGTGAGGAAAAAAAACTTTTGAAAGTAAGGAAAGAGGGGGGAGGAGAAGGAAAGAGGAGGGAAAGCTTGGAGGAGGAGGAGGAGGAGGAGGAGGAGGAGGAGGAAGGGAACCGCTTGCTTTGCGGAGCTCCAAGGTCTTCACGGAACACACTTTGAGAACTGGTCTATAGCATTAGATGTACTTAGCATTTCCCTGTGTAGTAACCATTGTTTTCATTGGCTGAGCTGTTGCATGATGTCATAGAAGGTGAGACTGGGCACTCATCCTTTGTGGTGTTGGAGTGAAAGGATGTAATAGCACCAATTATCTTGAGATTTTTGGTCATTTTGAATGGGTTTTGTGGCATTCTACAGCCACGCTTCTTTCGTATGTAATTTCAGTAGTTTTTGTGGATTCATACATGGATCTATTTTTTCCACAATTCTATACAAAATGATTCTCTCCAGAACTTTGTAAAGATGGCACAACAAGGAGAACCTTCTTATAGCAACACCAGAGGCACTCCAAGTGGCCAGCTACTGGTCAAAGAACATTTAGTAGGTCAAGTTTTTAACTTTGTTTGTGTTTAAATTCATTGCAACTGTACTCTTAATTCACTTCTGACATCATAAATAAATTAGTTTTTGTCTTACTACTCTGTCAGTGACTTCCAGTATATGTTCCCTAAGGCTATAAGAATTTCTGTATCAAAGCAAGGAAGATGTTAAACAAGCTCTTTAACAATGTTATATCAATGATCATCAGTGCAAACCCATGTAACCATCCAGTACTTAAGCAAAAAATACAGATATCCTAATTAAGGATTGCCCACACCTATATGATTTGGGCCACTGGCATTATAACTCCAAGCACAATTCAGCTACTTTTTGCGGGGTAAATGTGTATAGCAATATTCCTAAGTAAGAACAAGATGTTTATATTGGACCATTGGGACACAAATTAAAGTGGGTCGACTAATGTTTCATAGGTGAGAATACAAACATATCAATTGTAGAATCATAGAGATGGAAGAGGCCACGGGGATTATCCAATCCAGCCCATTCTGCCATGTAGGAACATTCAGTTAAGGCACTCAGGAAATGTAGTCATTCAGCCTTGTTTAAAACCTCCAGAGGAGACTCCACTACACTCCCAGCTCCTACCATCAGGAAATTTTATCTAATGTTTAGGTGGAATCTCTTTTCCTATATTTTGAATCCACTGCTCTCTGTTATTGACTCTAGAGTTTTTGTTGTTTTGTTTTGTTTTGTTTGTTTTTACTTAGGCGATCCCTCGTAGCCCGAGCATGGTGGTCCTCCAAGTGTAGTGTCTTGGTGGTGGATCCAAGTTTTCTCCCTCCTCAATGTAGCATCCTTTCAAATATTTAAACATAGAATCATAGAATCATAGACTGGACAAAACCTCATAGACCATCCAGTCCAACCCCCTGCCAAGAAGTAGGAAAATCACACTCAAACAACCCCTGACAGATCCTCCTCATAGGGCTTGGCTTCCAGATTACAATCTTTAACTGGAAATAGAAGGAGGCGCCTTGAGGAGTCCAGCCCCAGCTTCATTTCATGGGAAAGACTGCAATCTATAATTGGAGAATGAATACAAGTGTTGGGAAAAGCCATGGTATAAAAGGAAATAGGAGATATGTGGCCAAATTATAAGAGTTTCAAAAACCATTCTTTGGCATAAAAGGCTCCTCGCCCAATTTGCTAAGTGCCAGGTCTGAAGGTGGTTATCTTACCATAGGTTAACTCTTCTCTTACCTATATTGTCTCTATATGTGCCAGACTAATACACATGGAATGTTAAATGAAGGAGTGATGGAAACAACCTGAAAATATTTTCCCCAATTAGAAATAAATCCAAAAGCAGCAAACCTTTATTTTGCTAGTGTAGTCTTGATGCAGTGGCAAGTAGTCCACTTCAGTCTCCATGAAAACATCTGCAAGGTGTTTGTAATATCTGGGCAGACCTCATCAAGCAATTTCTTCATTACTCCCACTGTGTGGATTCCAGGTATTGATTGGAGGTGGGACTTTCAGCACAGTGGCCCTAAAGTGATTCTAACTTTCAATCAACCAATTTGTACTGATTCTAGACCCAAAACAAGTGGGAAGTGCAGTGCAGAGGTAAGGTAAAATTCCACCTCCTTGGTAGTCTGCATCTTTCCCATCTTACCTTGCTCTATTTGTTTAATGCACTAGATGGCAGCAACATACAAAAGACAACGCAGAACATACATTGATTTGGTTAGTTAATTAATTACTCCTTATTCTTGGAATGGAATTCAAGAGGACTTTCAAGAGTTTTAGACCAAAATTCAGTTAAAATCATATTATACAAAGCCCTCCCCCAAATACCTTAAACTCAGGTCAGCTCTTATAAGGAGAATAGGCTCTGCCCTGTACTCTGGGCACAAGTCATGTACTCTTTGGCACAGAAAGCTAAAAACCTTGTAAAACTACAACTCCCATGAGTCCGTAGCATTGAGCCAAGGCAGTTAAAGTAGTGTCAAACTGCATTAATTCTACAGTGTAGATCAGGCATGAGCAAACTTTGGCCCTTCAGGAGTTATGGAGTTCAACTCCCACATTTCCTAACAGCCAGTAAGTGGGCTGGGATTTCTGGGAGTTGGAAGTCCAAAACATCTAGAGGGTTGAAGTCTGCCCATGCCTGGTGTAGATGCATCCCTAATCAGGACTTTGAAGATCAATAGTCACTGAAGCTATTTCAACAGGGGTATTATATATTCCATGTAACCAGCCCGGTCAAGGTTGGTGCTGGTATGAAATTAATTGAGGCTGTGAATATATTGCTGGCCTGCTGGTACTCTGTATTTGAGGTGACCTCAGAAAACATGAACCCACTTGTTATTTTTGATGTCTGAGTGCATCGTGAATCTTCAAATCTTTCTTAGCCATTCTACATTGCCATATAAAATCCAGATTAGTTTATTTGAACTGGATTGTGTAGCAGTGTATACTCATATAATCCAGGTCAAAGCAGATAATGTGGGTTATTTTAAAAATGTGGATTATATGACAGTGTAGAAGGGGCCTGAGTTGCCTCAGAAGAATGGGAACTGAGGCCAACAATCAAACACACACGGTGCAATGGCATGCATATTTACACAGAAGCAAGCCTCACTTAGTTTAATGGGACATACCTCTTCGTAAGTGTAAGTAATTAAGTCATTATTCAATAAGGGATGTAGTGGTTGGACTGTTGCACTAGACGTCCAGGTTGGACAGTATTCAAATTCCTACTCAGCCATGCAAATTACTGCAAAAGTCCAGGAGGAAGTCATACTCTTTCAGCCTAAGGGGAAAGTCATAGCAAAGTTCCTCTCAAGTACCAGTAATATTACAAAGAAAACCTCAGAATTGAGTCACCATACGTCAGAGTCAACTTAAAGACATGTAACAACAATAACAAAGTGTACAATAAATTCACGTAAGCATTACTCAAAGGGAGTGGCATTTGATTTAATTCTATTCTGGGAAGAAACATTTGGGAGCACTGACTTTCAAATGGTCAAATGAATGTTAAAAAAAGGAGACCATGACTGCAAACCGAGGCACAGAGCTGGGAGATGAAATGTTTCTCAAACAAATGCTGTTGGAAACTGATGATTTTTTGCAATAATGAACTGTGTGAGGCTCATTTCATCCTCATGCATATTAGAAGTTGACCTTACAATTGTTCTGGAGGACTTATAAATATCTAGAAAAAATCTTCTCTCTAGAAATGTCTAGGTCAGTGTTTCACAACCTGGGGGTTGAGACCCCTGGGAGGGGGGTCATGAGTGGTCTCCCAAGACCATCAGAAAACACAGTAGTTTCTGTTGGTCATGGGGTTCTATGTGGGAAGTTTGGCCCAATTCTATTGTTGGTGGGATTCAGAATGCTCTTTGGTTGTAGCTGAACTATAAATCTCAGCAACTACAACTCCCAAATGTCAAGGTCTATTTTCCCCAAACTCCACCAGTGTTCACATGTGGGCAGCATATTGAGTATTCGTGTCATGTTTGGTCCAGATTGACCATTGAGTCCACAGTGTGTTCTGGATGTAGGTGAACTACAACTCTAAAACTCAAGGTCAATTCCCCCCCCCCCTCCCGAGTATTTCCTGTTGGTCATGGGCGTTCTGTGTTCCAAGTTTGGTTCAATTCCATTGTTGATTCAATTCCACCATTCAGGGGGCTCTTTGATTGTACTGTAAATTCCAGAAACTACAACTCCCAAATGACAAAATCACCCCCACCCCCCCACCCCCAATCCCACCACTATTCAAATTTGGGTTTATTGGGTATTTGGGTCCAATTCGGTCTAGTGAATGAAAATACATCTCGCATATCAGATATTTACATTATGATTCATAACGGTAGCAAAATTACAGTTATGAAGTAGAAATGAAAATTTTATGGTTGGGGGTCACCACAGCATGAGGAACTATATTAAGGGGTCGTGGCATTAGGAAAAGGTTGAGAAACAGTGGTCTAGGTCCTCTAGTGCAACACTGGAGGATGCAGAGATTTTCAGAAAGAATGTATTAATCAAATCCACAAAACTGCAATTGGAGAGAACTGACTGTATCTAGCATTGTTTTTCATTCATGGAATTCCTCTACTTACAACTTGTTAGTGTTTGCAAAAATTAAAGTAGTAGATTGCAAATGTGAGTAGATCAATAGGTACCGCTCCAGCGGGAAGGTAACAGTGCTCCATGCAGTCATGCTGGTGACATGACCTTGGAGGTGTCTACGTACAACGCCAGCTCTTCAGCTTAGAAATGGAGATGAGCACCAACCCCCAGAGTCGGACACGACTGGACTTAATATCTTAACCTTTACCTAGATTGGGGGCAGGTGTCACCTCCTTGTTTAGCCTTCCAGACCTTATTATTACATACTATCAAATTAAAGGCACATATACACACCCAATCATCATCTTTATTATGATCTTAAGACCCTTTTTCTCCATAGGTGTACAAAGTTAACGTCTTTCCATTCAGTAAACCTTAAAGAACTTAACTGCTGTCTATTTTCCAAAGCAAGATGTAATGTGCTCCCGTCTGAACTGCTGCGTGGGAGATTTGCATGTATCCCATATAAAGAAAGACTCTGCCGATGTAACGAACAGGAAGTAGGATGCATCTACCATATTCTACTGTCATGCAGTTTCTATGAACAGGCCCAAGCACACATAATCTGTGCACTCAGTTACCCTACTGAGTAACTTACAGACTAGTTCCGTGAAACTTTATGAAAAGTTTTTACTGGGTGACATTCTTCCCCATGTGACCTTGGTGATTGCCAAGTTTTTTCCGTGGCAGCCAGGATTAGACACTTCCAAGTTTTAGATACAGGCTGAAACATGCCAGTACTTCGTAGTTTTTAACTTAAGTTTTTAGCCATCATGTATGGCATCAAGCAGTTTTAACCCTGTATTCTAAGCAGTTTTAACTGTTGTAAATTTTATCCAACTATGTGTCTAACCAGTTGCTGCTGTTAACCTATGTGGCAAATACTGTCTGGTTCAGGCACATTGACTTTATGGTGGAATGCAGATTAGGGGATTGTTTTTATGGAAAGTGTGAGCTAAAAATGGGCTTATTTTAGGTGAGGTACTTGGTGTTGATGCTTTTTTACCTGCTTCATTTTTTGCAAGAGCAGTAAACTAAATGGCAATACCTACACGCCAACATTTGTTAAAATCCAGATTTGGCCCTCCATTTGAGGTTCTCATAATATTCGTTCCATTGAGGCCAACCATGTGCCCAAACCTACAATCCATATATTAAAATGTATGTTATACATAAATATGACATCTGAGATTTATGGCAGTTTTTCTTAGCCTGGGGAATCGGGAGCCCTGGGGAGTGTCGCAGAGGGGTGTCAGAGGGGTTGCCAAAGACCATCAGAAAACACTGTTGGTCATGGGGGTTTTGTATGGGAGGTTTGGCCCAATTCTACATGGATAGGTGCTTATTTTGAAGGTGTAGCCACATAGGCTGATGAAGCATCACTCACCTGTGCAGTTGTGCATTCATCCTGACTGTTACGCAAAGAAAGAATCCCCTCAAATGGTGCTGTACTCCATAAAAGTGGGAAAACTACCAACAAAAGGCACACTTGCCAACAGAAGTGGACTATAGAGAAGCCCTTGAGAAGCTAAAGATTCCTAGAAAGAACATATTAATCAAAACTGCAAATAATCAAATCTCCAAAGCGAAACCCATTCATATGTGGAGGGAGAAGTGTATTTGCAAAATGTATGCAGCTGAAATGGCTTTGATGCACAAAGAACAGTGAAGTGTTTGAAAACCACATCAAAAGCCAATATAGCATTTTAACATGTTTATTATAACAAAAATAGCTCTCTTTTTATTCACAACATTAAAATTCCACTTTAAACAAAAAGTAACAATGGGTATCAAAATTTGTGGTACATAGACATCAAAGCAAAAGTGAAATGCCATGAATATTCCCATTGATCAAGATACAAATCTTCTCTCCCACAAGTATATATAAAAGCATAAAAGAACTACATTTTAAATGTTAAGGAAATTAAGATGGAGAAATACATACAAAAGAAAAGCATTTAGAGGTAAATTTATTTAGGATTATGTAATTGCTATAAACCTTGGAGAATGCACAGGGGTGCCATAAGCCAAGAGGCAACTTGAAGGCACATATAMACACCCAATTATCATCTTACTTCATTATTCCCCCTCAAAGAGGGCTATAATTTATCAGATCCCAAATACTGAAGAGGATAAAACTGGCCTTTTCTGCATCTTTCATTCTCATAGCTTGATATATATATATATATATATATATATATATATATATATATATATATATATATATTTGGAGGGTAACCACAGGCACGATCATTTTTTTGTAGGGCAGTGGCTATGCCACATATAATTATGGTAAATTGAAATTTCAAATGTATTTGTARTCATTTAACAAACATATTCCTATAGTATACTGTATGTATACCAGTTYGGTCATCTCGGATCCTTTTCCCACCCTTGTTGATCTTCTAGCCGAATAGGTTTAAGCCGTCAACRTGTCATAGTATGGTATAAAATGACATTTATTTTAACAGAGAAGATAACTCAATGGTGCAAGGTTTATAAACATGATATTACATTTACCTGTAATCAGTTTCTATCTCTCAGRGAATAGCAATCAGCTGTGTTTCAGAACAAAGGGRAAGGAGTAGACAAAACAGCGTAAAAGATATACAAGAGTTGCAAAGAGATAAGAAGTTTATAGAAAAACATTCAGCAAATAACAGGTTAAGACACATTAAGGGTTTACCAAAAGTGCTCTAATTAAATTAGAGAGAACTGGGATTAAAACTGAAATGAAAGAGATCCAGAAACTTAGATCCATCTTCCTTGGGAAGAATCATTGTGATCTTTGGCTTAGGCAATGAGAAAACAAACAGTTGCTCTCAGGAACAAAAGGACATGAAGCAACAAGCAATGCATTCCAACAAAACTAGATATCATATTTGTGACATTTTAAAGATGTGGCACAACAAGCAGGTAAATGGAGACCTACATAGGCCTTTCTTGCCTACGCTACCTTTCTAAATATAACACTGTAAGCATTCTAGATTTCTATATGGCGCTATTTTTTTTTCTCTAGGAGAAGTTGCATTGCTAATCCTCGGCTTTCCACCTGCCTTTACTAGCTCTTTGTGCTTTTAAGAGTCATTGGCTAGGTGATGTTGTATAGCTTACATTGTGGCTCATCCCCAATGATGTAATGATGAAAATCCCATCATTTGTTAGCATTGATTATGTTAGCTAAAGCTGTTAGAACTGCAATCTAACAATAAAGAGCCAGTATGATATAAGGGTCAAAACAGAGGTGAGAATCATGCAGTCCTTCTAATGCAGGCATGGGCAAACTTTGGCCCTCCAGGTGTTTTGGACTTCAACTCCTACAATTCCTAGCAGCCGATAGGCTGATAGGAATTGTGGGAGTTGGAGTCCAAAACACCTGGAGGGCCGAAGTTTGCCCATGCCTGTTCTAATGCCTTTTAATTAGAACTGCCAGGATCCTTAACCACTTTTGCTAGGGCTGTTGAGGTGTCTAATTTAAAAACATCTGGAGGCATGCAAAAATTGCCCTGCCATCTTAGAGTGAGAGTCTGGAGATGAGAAGACCCAGGTTCCAATTCTAGCTTGACCATAAAGCTTACTAGGAACTTGGATTAGTCATGGTCTTACATTGCAAGTCTGTGATAATGGAAGAAAAAGTAGAATATATAAATATGTGGAAAGTTAAAGATAGTCCCTTTTCTTGTAGATATGCCAAACATAAGTAGTGTAAAACAAGAGCAAACTTGGAGACATGTTTTATTCTTCCACCTGCCATATAGTATACAAAAGACAGTACGTGAATATCCTGAACTTCCCAGAACCTTCCATGGCATGTTGCTGCCAGTCGTCTGCCATAACATGCTATACAGCAGGAGGAACTCACATTAAGCAATTGAAACCATATAGGTAAGACAAAATCAACATATGTGAAAGTTCCTTTTCCACTGCTTTGAGGGTGTCAAGTAAATGGAGGGATTGCCTAGGGAAAGCCTATAATATGGAATATGTTGGGTTGCTGTGAGTTTTCTGGACTGTATGGCCATGTTCCAGAAGCATTCTCTCCTGATGTTTTGCCCACATCTATGGCAGGCATCCTCAGAGGTTGAGGGATCTGTTGGAAACAAGGCAAATGAGGTTTATAGATCTGTGGAATGTTCATGGTGGGAGAAAGAACTCTTGTCTGCTTGAGGCAGGTTGAATGTTGCAAATTGCTACCTTAATTAGCATTTAAAGGCTTCAATGTCTGGCTGGTTGCTGCCTGGGGGAATCCATTGTTGGGATGTGTTAGCTGGCCCTGATTGATTATTGTCTGGAATTCCCCTGCTTTTTGAGTGTTGCTCTTTATTTACTATTTTAATTTTAGAGTTGTTTAACACTGGTAGCCAGACTTTGCTCATTTTAATGATTTCCTCTGTTCTGTTGAAATTGTCCACATGCTTGTGGATTTTAGTTGCTTCTCTGTGTAGTCTGACATGGTAGTTGTTAGAATGGTCCAGCATTTCTGTCTTCTCAAATAACATATATAAACCTCACTTGCCTAGTTACCAACAGACCCCTCCACCTCTGAGGATGCCTGCCATAGATGTGGGTGAAACTTCAGGAGAGAATACTTCTGGAACATAGCCATACAGCCCAGAAAACTCTCAGCAACCTAGTGATTCCAGACATGAAAGCTTTCGACAACACATGGTATATGTTCATTCACTTAAGATTTTTGTGAGACTTGCAAGCAGAGCATGGACTAAACTACGAATGCAATCACCACCAGAGCATCTCATTTTGAAGAATTTCCATTTTTCCTTTCTTTTATATTCAGACATCTTAACATTATAGCCAAAGGTGAAAATGGTATCATGCATTTGCACAACCCTTCAAGTGTTCTTAGTTTCCACAATATACAGAAATTATGGCTTTTGGATCATAACTTCAAAGAATTCTGAAACACTGATTGTTTGGACTAAAAATCAACCATTCTAGAAACTTTAAGAACAAGGTCCACCCATGATCTCCAATTTTGTGTGCGAATCAGCAGCTTGGGTACATGGGCATCAACTCATGTACAACTAAACCATTTTGAAATGTAGGAGCTTCAGAAAAAGAACAACCACTTTTTGATTCACTTGTGGTTCCATAATTCAAAGACAACTTTTAACCTCCTTTTTATGAATCTTAAACCATTCCCATGGAAAGACCCAGGCTGTCAGGAAGCATCAGGCAAACCATGTTATGAACATTAGGCATAAAGCAAACAGTAATGCACTAGGTCCCGATCATCTGTACAACACCTTAACTCTTTTTGTATTGTTAGCTTGTTGATAAAGCCAAAGTGTGTAGCTTCATTCTAAAAAAAACTACATGATTTTTTGCATACTTTACATCCAAGAACTAAATTCAATTATAGACACCCCCCACTATACTGTGCTGTAATTTCTGCAACTTTTTTTTCCACCCATGTTTAAATTTGGACGAGGGGTGGAAAATATGTACACCTCTCCACAATGTACCTTACTCTTTACCTTCCAAATCCACTTCAGAAGATTTAGGTGCTAGATGTTCATGAGGAGAGCAGGCAAGGAGGTAGAGAAGAATCTGGCTAGAAGTAAGACTGCCATATTAAAGCGTGTCCAGCATTTTTTCCATTATTAAATTAATTCACATGTGTCAGTTAATGGCGTTGCTTGCTTGGTGCTTGCTTGCGCTCAATTAACAGTCAACGTAGAAATGTTCCTGTTTTTATATGAGACCTGGAAGTTCTGCACAGCATGGCATACATTTGCCTCTTCTTGGCAAATCAGATAAATACTTCCAAAAAATAAAAAAGTCCAAATAAAAAAGAGATACTCTGCCAAAGCCAGTCTTCTAGAACATTGTTATTGTTCTTCCAGTTTTAATCTTATGTCAGATTGATCAAGATTCTGTGATCTATGAGTTCCTTCAAAAACCGTTGTTCCACAGCAATATCGTGATATGCATTCTGCAGAGAACAAAAATAATACAGATGTAGAAATAAGAATAGGAGTAAAGAGTTATAGGTTCTAACTCTGGGGATTTGCTGAAATAAGTGGGAACCAGAGACAGCCTTGGTAACCAAGCCAAAAATTATGGTTTCCATACCCTATGTCCCTACATTCCTTTGCTTATTTGGCCACTGGATGCCTCTGATACAGCGCAGCCAGGAAATGAGGTGATTTGTGAACTGCCCCAAGTCCCTTTGGGGAAATGGTGACAGGATAATAATCATCATCATCATCATCATCATCATCATCATTATTATTATTATTATTGCAGCTTGATTGTTGCTCAAATAGTGATAATGTGACAATGTATGTGTCGTTTTATACAAATACTTGGTTGTGGATCTTGTTCTGGAAATTTTTCCCAAAAGCGAAAGCTTTCCCAAAAGGTTGCCAGCTTTTCCAGACTGTGATGGCTTCTAAGTTTGACAGTTATGTATCAGAAGTGGAATTAAGAACATCATATCAATGGCTCCTAATAAGGATTACTTACTTACTTACTTTACTTAGGCGATCCCTCGTTGGACGAGTAAGATGGTCTTCCATTATGGATTTCCTTGTGGGTCCGTATGTGGCTGTGGAGCCCTATTCTTGTTCTGCCTCTTCTTCCGCAGTGAGGGCATTGGTTTCCAGGTGGAAGGCGGTCCCGGTCGGGGTTGGCTTGACGCGCCTTCCTCTTGGCACGTTTCTCTCTTTCACCCTCCACTCGTGCCTCCTCAAATTCTGCAGCACTGCTGGTCACAGCTGACCTCCAGCTGGAGCGCTCAAGGCCAGGGCTTCCCAGTTCTCAGTGTCTATGCCAGAGTTTTTAAGGTTGGCTTTGAGCCCATCTTTAAATCTCTTTTCCTGTCCACCAACATTCCTTTTTCCGTTCTTAAGTTCGGAGTAGAGCAACTGCTTTGGGAGACGGTGGTCAGGCATCCGGACAACGTGGCCGGCCCAGCGGAGTTGATGTTGGAGGACCATCGCTTCAATGCTGGTGGTCTTTGCTTCTTCCAGCACACTGACGTTTGTCCGCTTGTCTTCCCAGGAGATTTGCAGGATTTTCCGGAGGCAGCGCTGATGGAAACGTTCCAGGAGCTGCATGTGACGTCTGTAGACAGTCCACGTCTCACAGGCATATAGCAGGGTTGGGAGGACAATAGCTTTATAGACAAGCACCTTGGTCTCCCTACGGATGTCCCGGTCCTCAAACACTCTCTGCTTCATTCTGGAAAATGCTGCACTTGCAGAGCTCAGGCGGTGTTGTATTTCGGCGTCGATGTTGACTTTGGTGGAGAGGTGGCTGCCAAGGTAGCGGAAATGGTCCACATTTTCTAATGTGACACCATTAAGCTGTATTACTGGCATTGGAGAGGGATTGGCTGGCGAGTGCTGGAACAGCACCTTGGTTTTCTCAATGTTCAGTGACAGGCCGAGCTTCTCATATGCTTCTGCGAAGGTGTTTAGAGTGGCTTGTAGATCTTCTTCTGAATGCGCACAGACGACATTGTCATCAGCATACTGGAGTTCTATAACAGATGTTGTTGTAACCTTGGTTTTGGCTTTCAGTCTGCTGAGGTTGAATAGCTTGCCATCTGTCCGATAGATGATTTCCACTCCGGTGGGAAGCTTCCCATCAACAAGGTGAAGTATCATAGCGATGAAGATGGAGAATAGAGTTGGGGCAATAACACATCCCTGTTTGACACCGGATTCCACCTTAAATGGGTCACTTTGGGAGCCATTGCTGTCCAAGACTGTTGCCATCATGTCATCATGGAGGAGCCGCAGGATGTTCACAAATTTGCTTGGGCACCCGATTTTTTGGAGGATGGTCCAGAGAGCGCTGCGATTCACTGTGTCGAATGCCTTTGCAAGGTCGATGAATGCCATGTACAGAGGTTGGTTTTGTTCCCTGCATTTTTCTTGGAGCTGTCGTGCAGTGAAGATCATGTCCACGGTTCCTCTGGAGGGGCGGAAGCCATTCTGGGATTCTGGGAGGGTGTCTTCTGAGAGGGGCAGAAGGCGGTTTGCAAGGATTCTTGCGAGGATTTTCCCGGTGGAGGTTAGAAGGGAGATACCTCGATAGTTTCCGCAGTCTGTTCTTTCCCCTTTTTTGAAGAGGGTGATGATGGTGGCATCCTTGAAATCTGCTGGGATTTTCTCGGTCACCCACACTTTTTCTATGAGCTGGTGGAGTTGGTGTGTCAGCTCAGGTCCTCCCTCTTTAAAGATTTCAGCAGGGATCCCATCTGGTCCGCTGGCTTTGTTATTCTTCTGCTGGCTGATGGCATTGCTGACTTCTTCCAAACTAGGCGGTGCTGCAAGCTCATCCCTGGTTTGTTGTTGCGGGATTTGTGAGAGGACCTCTTCGGCCACATTGGAGCTGCGGTTCAGGAGGCTTTGGTAGTGTTCTTTCCAACATAGTGCAATTGAGTTTTGGTCCTTCAGGAGTTTGGTTCCATCTGATGAGCGTAGAGGCTGTATGCCATGGTTTCTTGGTCCGTAGATGACCTTTGTGGCTTTGAAAAATCCCTGAGCATTATGGGTATCTGCCAGGTGTTGGATTTCTTCGGCCTTCTTTGTCCACCAGATGTTCTTGAGTTCTCTTGTCCTTCTTTGGACCTCAGCTTTTGCACTGGCATAGATCTTTTTCTTAGCAGCACAGTTGATGTCTCTCTGCCATGCTTGGAAGGCTTTCCTTTTCTTGTCAATTAGCTGTTTGATCTCGATGTCATTTTCATCAAACCAGTCTTGATGTTTCTTGGCTTTGTATCCAATAGTTTCTTCGCAGGCTTGGATGATGGAGGTCTTCAGTTTGTTCCAATGTTCCTCGACATTTTCGGGGTGTACTGTGGGTAGATGGTCCTTGAGTGCTGTTTGGAGATGGGCTCGTCTGGAGGGCTCCTGAAGGGCTTGGGTGTTCATTTTGCGCCTTGTCTTCCTTCCTTGGAGTCTGCGCTTGGGAGCGATCTTGATAGCCATCGAGGATCGAATTAGCCTGTGGTCAGTCCAGCAGTCGTCAGCACCTGTCATGGCTCTTGTGAGGAGCACATCACGGCGGTCTCTGGCACGTGTGATTACATAGTCTAAGAGGTGCCAATGCTTTGACCGGGGGTGATTCCATGATGTCTTGAACTTGTTTTTCTGGCGGAAGAGCGTGTTGGTGATGACAAGGTTGTGCTCCGCACATTTGGTGAGAAGCAGGATGCCATTTGAGTTGCTGTTTCCAACCCCGTCTTTTCCGATGGTCCCTGGCCACAGGTCGAAGTCTCGCCCGACTCTTGCATTAAAGTCCCCCAGGAGGATGATTTTGTCCTCTTTAGGTATCCCCGATAGGACGGTGTCCAGCTGACAGTAGAATTTCTCCTTGATGTCTTCGTCAGCATCTAGTGTTGGTGCATAGGCACTTATGATGGTTGCCCGTTGGTTTTTGGCAAGATCGATTCGGAGGGTTGAGAGTCGTTCGTTGATGCCAGTGGGTGCTTCAGACAGATGTTTCATCAGGTCATTTCTGATGGCGAAGCCAACTCCGTGCATTCTTTGGTCTTTTTCGGACAGTCCCTTCCAGAAGAAGGTGTAGCCTCCTTTTTCTTATTTCAGGTAGAGACAAATTCAGGTGGTTTTGTTGCCAAACAAGATGAAATTATGGAGCCAAACATGGCTTCATAATTACCAAAGGAAAAACACATACAGTAGAGTCTCGCTTATCCAACTCATCCAACATTCTGTATTATCCAATGCAGACTGCCTCCCACCCAGATCCACAAAACTTTGCAATGTTTTGTGCTAAATTCATAAATACAGGAATTACTACATAATGTAACCATGAATTGAACTGCCTTTTCTGTTGATTTGTTGTAAAACATGATGTTTTGGTGCTTAATTTGTAAAATCATAATGTAATTTGACACTGAATAGGTTTTTACTTAATCCTGCCTTATTATCCAACATTTTCACATGTCTAGTGTTCTGCCGGCCCATTTATGTTGGATAAGCAAGACTCTACTGTAGAAGTATACCTATATGTTTAAACTATTTTATAATTTGATATGGTATGTTTCCTAACCTTTTTTTGACCAGGGACCATTTTGACCAGGGATCACTTTCCAACATTAGTACCAAAAGGGTTACGAATAGGTTTTTGGTCAACTTTAGGGTTGGTTTGGTTATTGGGGGTGCTGATTCAGAAAATTGCATTGGACAGTCCACATCAGCTCTAGTTTCTGATACAGAACATGTGCCATCCAGTAGTCACCATCTGCTTTCCCACAGAAAACCATATTTAATAATCTAGAGCTGATTTGGTAGTATTCTTGCAGACCACTGGTGATCCATATGCTGTAACCTTTCCTCACAAAATCTGATTTTGGGGCTCCAATGACTCTTTGGAAGGTTAGTAGAAAGTAAGGGAGAGGAAGTTTGGCTCAAATCAGGTATTTTGACTTATTAAAATCCTTCTTTGTGGTGCAAAATCACAACTGATTACAACCCAATGAAACAAATAAATAAATACACATGCTAGAAAAGAAAACAGCACCTGAATCATCTGAGACATAGTGTCATTGCCATAATAGTGCAATGAACTGTTTCGATCATTAAGGTTGTACTTGAAACCTGCCAGGTGAACTTCGCTGCATATTTGTAATGCAAATGTGATGGCAATCAATCCTGTTGTGGGATGTTTGGGTCTCTAAAAACAAAACAAAATACAAAAATGTAACTATTATTACATAAAAGATTTGATTTTCAAACACATCTAACGAGTAACATCAAGTTTCTCATACGCCCCGTCTACACTGACATATGTTTTAAATTGATCAAAGTGTGCAACTGTAAATAAACAAACAAATAAACAAACATTACACAATATTAAGCAAGTTCCCATTGGATGTTAAGCATGTTCTCATTGGTTGTTCCATTCAGTGGTCTGTATCATGTTAATGAGTCCTAATAGAAGAATTAATTCTATTTAACAAGAATGCAGTCAATTGTTATAAAATGTTTAAGGAGCTCCACTGGCTGCCGTTTATTTTCTGGGCCCAATTCAAGGTGCAGGTCTTGACCTACAAAGCCCTGAACGGTTTGGGACCCACCTATCTGCACAACCACATTTCCATCTACGAGCCCACACGATCTCTTCGATCTTCCGGAGAGGCTCTTCTCTTGCTCCCGCCCGCATCGCGAGTGCGACTTGTGGGGATGAGAGGGAGGGCCTTCTCTGTGGTGGCCCCCCAGCTCTGGAACTCACTCCCCAGAAATATTAGGCAAGCCCCCACGCTGGCCATCTTCAGGGGGAATCTGAAAACCTGGTTATTCTAATGTGCCTCCAGTGATTGAATGACCAAACTTTGCACAAAATGTCCTTATAAGCACGTTATTTTATGGTTTATGCAATTAAATCCTCCTCATTCCCGGATCCTCCTCCGTATAACTTATATTGTCCTATCTACCAGTGTTTTAAAATTTTACCCTTCAATTTGGCCCTGCCCAGTGAAACCTTCTGTGTTTTTAATGTTTGATATTATATTGCTGTGTCGTTTATTATGTTGGTTTTGCATTTTATGTAATTATTTGGTGCTATTATGTTTTTGCGTTATATTATGTGTACTGTATTGATGGGCGTAGCCTCATGTAAGCAGCTCCGAGTCCCCTTGAGGGAGATGGAGCAGGGAATAAAGATTATTATTATTATTATTATTATTATTATTATTATTATTATTATTAAATGTAAAACTGTGACATTAACAAAGCAGTAAGAATTTCTAATTTCCTGTTTTTGTGATTTAAATTAAAAATGGCTGCTTTGGGATTTGAAAATAGAAGTATGGTTTGTCACATATTTTCTTAGTTTGAGTTGCTGTAAGTTTGTGACATCTGTTGGAAACTAGACAAGTGAGGTTTATATATCTGTGGAATGTGCAGGGTAAGAGAAAAAAAACTCTTTGTTTGAGGCAAGTGTGAATGTTGCAATTGGCCACCTTGATTAGCACTGAATGACCTCGCAGCTTCAAAACCTGGCTGCTTCCTGATGGGGGATCTTTTGTTGGGAGGCGTTAGCCGGCCCTGATTGCTTCCTGTTTGGAATTCCCTGCCCTTTGAGTGTTGTTCTTCACCTTCTCTCCTGACCTTCGGACCTTTTAATACTGGTAGCCAGACTCTGCACAACTTCATGGCCTCCTCCCTTCTGCTGAAACCGCCCACATGCCTGTGGCCAGCTAACACCTCCCAACAAAGTATTTCACAAGGCAGGAAGCACCCAGGCTTTGAAGCTGCAAGGCTATTCAATGCTAATCAAGGAGTAGTTCTTTCTCCCACCCTGGACATTCCACAGATACATAAACCCCACTTGCAGAGTTTCCAACAAACATTACAATCTCTGAGGATGCCTGCCATAGATGCAGGCAAAATGTCAGGAGAGAATGCTTTTGGAACATGGCCATACAGCCCAGAAAACTCACAGCAACTCAGTGATTCCAGCCATGAAAGCCTTCAACAAATCACTAGTTTCACTACAACAAATTCCTAAGGAGGCTTTCTAGAACAGTATGATGAAAATTGACTCTTAAATTCCCCTGCCATAGCCAGCATTATTAAAACCATTAATGTGAGAGAGCACTTACTTCGGGTCTGGAAAACTTTGTAGGCAAATTAAGGAAATCATGTGCTGTTCTTCTTGTAATGGCGGGATCAAGGATTCTGATTTGTTGGGGGTTGTAAATCAATTGCAACGCTGGTTTCTTCCAAAATGCAGAAGTTTTCTGTGGAACCAACAACTTATTGTCAAAACATAAAAAGCCTTACCTTCATCAATGTCTCTAAAATACAGATGTGAAAACAAATAAATGTGTATTGTTTCTTTCCCCTTTGGTAATAAATGCAGAGTGCACTTTACTCTCCCTTTATTCTAAAAGAGGAAAGAAACAATGTATGTCCTCATGCCTTGTCCCGAATGAAGAGGGTGGCAAAAATAAAATTTCCTTTTGAAATTGCAACCTATTCTGCTCAGAGTCAGTTCTCATGTCCTTATCTGCAAGGCAATTCAGAGTCCGGAATTATGATCATTATCATCTTTCTGTGGGAAAGATAATATCTGAGAGATAAAGGAGCAGGGAGTATACAAGATAACATTTCAATGCAAGCGTTCAATAAAACTGAATTGTGCAAGAATATGACAAAGTAGTGATATCCCACAAATGTGCAGCAGTATGCCCAGACTCAAAAGTATAGGCAGAATGTCTTTTTAGACATAGAACATATATTGAGGGTGTTTATCGTTTGTGCATTTGAAATGGTGGTGGGAGTAGACTTCAAACATCTCTTACACTGACTCTCAGAGGTATTTTGCCCACCTTGTATCTCTCATCTGATTTCACCAAGTAGCTACTTCTAAATCTTGATACAAATAATGAAGAATGGACACTTTTGAAAGCTGTATGAGAGTGCTGCTCTCCTTAACCCTCATCAGCACAACTTGCTGCTCTATGTACAATAGTTATGTTGCATGAAAGATAGAAAGCTGTTGTCTAAATGAATGTTGTGGTTCAAATGGGTTCGGCTATGTTTATTTAATAACTTGCTTGGGGACCTGGCAGTGCTGAGGTTATTTGAGAAAGGCATTGTTTGTTTTTTGAAGTTTGGCAATATCAGTTTGATGATGTATAACTCTATTTATAAGGAAAAAAAACCAGTCTTTCCTTTTGTTTTTTATAAATGCTCCCAATAGAAAATGCATAAGGATGTGGGTGAACTACAATTCCCAGAATTGTGAGTCAATCCTTCCTAAACTCTGCCATTATTCAAAGTTGGCCATGTTGGGTCTGTGTGCCAAGTGTGGTCCAGATCGGATATCAGCTGGGTTCAGTGATATCTACATAAGGGTGAACTACAACTCCCAGATTCCCAGGGCAATCACCCACAAGCCCAGTCAGTAATCACAGTTGCCCATGTTGGTTCTATGTGCAAAATTTGGTCCAGACCCAGCATCGGCTGGGTTCACAGTGCTCTCTGGATGTAGGTGAACTACAGCTCCCAGATTCCCAGGGCAATCATGTCCAAATCCTGCCAGTATGCACTGTTGGCCATGTTGGGTCTGTGTGCCAAGTTTGGTCCAGATCCGCTGTTGGCTGGGTTCACAGTGCTCTCTGGCTGTAGGTGAACTGTAACTCCCATAATTCAAGGTCAATTTCTCCTAAACCTGGTCATGGGGGTTCTGCAAGCCAAATGGAGTCCAGGTCCATTATCGAAGGAGGGTCAGAGTGCTCTGCCTTGATGCAGGATAAACTACAACTTCCATCCAGTTAAGTCAGTCCCCCAAATCCCTCCAGTCTGTTCAGTTGCTGATCAATTCTTCTCTGTGTGCCATAGGAAAGGGTAGGAAAGGGTTAAGGGAGAGGCAGTCATGCAAATTCCACACAAGGAACCCTGGGAAGCCTGCCTGTGGTGGAGGAAATATGTCAAATCTAGGATGAAATTGTCCCTGAATGAAAGCATTTTTAAGGGGCTTAGTGTTTGGGGAGGACATTGGCAGCGTTTGGGCAACATGTTAATGGCACTCGCTATAACCTGCAGTGTGAGTTGAGGGAAGTGCCTTTGGAGCTTCTCAGTACTTGGAACTATAGCCTGTTTGTGGAGGTGGGAGGCTGTCTGTGTAAGTGGATACCTCTGCCGCATACACACATTCACAGTTTTCACTTTTATTACATGTATAGCTAGAAGACAGATATAGAAGAAGCATTATAAATTTGTGACACATAACTTTTCACCTAGACTCTATCATTAGAATAAACACATCAAAACATATTTGAATGGATTTTATATTGCTTTGCATAATCTGTCCATTTATGATAGTCATAAATAGGGCAGGGATCAATGCAGGGAAATGTATACTGCAAAATGTCCTGCACAAGGAGGTGTTCCTTTATCTTGTTTCAGCAACTCCCGATCTTTTGTTTTATCTATCTCTAATAATACATTCTTCAAAGGTACCACAAAGTCCACACGCCTAGGTAGTGCTGAACAAGACTGTGGTAAATAGAAGAAGTTCAGGAAACATGCATGAAAAAAACCAAAATGGACTTACGATTAAACGCTGTCCACTCAATAAATCCCAAAGCCATTTTAAGTCATGGGGTTTGAAAACCACAAGAACTGCAGTTGTGTTAGGGTCATAGTGAATAGGATCTGAAAATACAGACTCTGGGTAGAAGAGCCGGTATGTTGTCCTCCTTCCAACATCTTCTTCATAGCCTACAACAGGTCCATTATTCATTCTATCAAGGAAAAAAAATCCAAAAAGATGTTGTTTATGTGACAATCAATCCAATTTTCTTTTGCTGCTCTACAACTTCAGCACTGCTACAGCATGCCAGAAGCAAGTCTGAGCAAAGATATTTCATTGTTTGAAGTAAAGCATGTGATGCCACCCCACTGCCTTTCCTGTCTGGAGTTCATTGTGTTTTTGTGGAGACTGTTGTTCGATATGTAATTTTAAGCTACTTAGAGGCTGTTATTGATTACCATATTTACTTGAATATTGTTCACCTTTTTAGCTAAATTAGGTAAAGGTAAAGGTTTTCCCCTGACATTAAGTCCAGTCGTGTCCAGCTCTGGGGGGTGGTGTTCATCTCCATTTCTAAGCCGAAATGCCAGCATTGTCCGTAGACGCCTCCTAGGTCATGTGGCCAGAATGACTGCATGGAGCACCTTTACCATACCACCAGAGCAGTACATATTGATCTATACACATTTGCATGTTTTCAAATTGCTAGGTTGGCAGAAGCTGGGGCTAATAGCAGGAGGTCACTACACTTCCTGGATTCAAACCGCCGACCTTTGGGTCAGCAAGTTCAGCAGCTCAGCGGTTCAACCAGCTGCGCTACCGGGGGCTCCATCTGGCTAAACTGCATCACTAAAATTGAGGTGCAGATTAGATTTGATGGCACATTAGAATTGTGCACCTAAATCCGCATGCACTATTGGGCAAGAGATCCCAGCTGGGGACAGAGGGAGGAGAAGCAGAGGTGGCCATGAAAAGGCTGGTGGGAAGCTGATGATGGTTGCAAAAAAGGTCTTGGGAAGGACAGGTGGAGGGGAGAGCCTTCTGAGCAGCCTTTTCGTGGCCACTATTGACTTCCTACCAGGCCTGATGGAGGGGTGCAGCTTCCTTTTTGCAGCCATCACTGCCTCACATTACATTCAACAGCAAATCCTTTCTTTCTTTCTTTTTTGTAATGCACACTTTCAAAACTGAGGAGCGCATTACATTCAATGATGCATTATTCTCGGGTAAATATGGTATTTTAGAAGGCCTTTCAAAAATCAGTTTGGGTTTCTTGTAATCTCTGAGATAATCTCTTTTGAGTAGTGGGGAATCTTTTATACACCAACACAGAGGAGAATCCAAGTCACCTGACAGCCTGCTTTAAACAACCTTTGCAGATAAAACGCAGCCAGAAAGCACTCTGATTTGAATGCTACAGTTAATATTAAGGCAGCAGATATAGCATTGGCCTTTGCTTGTCCAGTGATAATGGATACTTTTCAACTTGCATAACCCAAGAATGTGGACAGGATTCTCAGAGAGGAAAAACACAACATGTATGTTAAACCCTGGCATTCCTACTTTGTTAAAAACCAGAGACGGACTTGCTGAGTGGGAACAGGGAATTGTCAAGGCAGAGTTCCATCACGCTAGAGGAAGTAGTTATAAGACTATTGTTGACATTATACTGGATTTCACTATATTGGACAGCTACTGGCCAGTTTCCAGGAATCCATTTCTGGCTAAGGCATCAAGGGTGTGGTAGCTTCTTGGTTCCAGAGAATCCTTGATGAAATTGATCCTCTAGATCAATTTCACTATGTTTTCAGGTTATGGGCAGATATAACTTTAATTAACTTGGTGGATGGTGTTCTCTGAGAACTAAACAGGGGGAATGTACCCCTGGTGGTTCTGTTGAACCTCTCATCCGTTTTTGATACCATCACTCTTGGTGACCAGTTTTTGATACCATCACTCATGGGCCATCTCACTGAGATCGGCCTGGAGGCATTGGTCTGAGTACCCCCTTTCATAGAAGAGCAGAGGGATTACACTGGGCCTGTTCTTCCTTAGGAGTGGGTTCTCAGAAAGTGGTGGGAGACTCCCCTAGCCACTGCTTGTAGAGTGCTTAGGACTTGTTTCTGTCCTCCTTGCTATTTAACATATACACGAAACCTCTAGGAGAGATGGTTCAGACTTTACTGGTCTGAATCATCAGTATGGAAATAACACCCAAGACTCCTTTCTACTTGAAACCAAGGAAGTTTTTTTGTGCATATCTACACTGTAGAACTAATGCAGATTGACACCACTTTAACTGCCAGGGTACAATAATATCGGATCCCAGTATTTGTGGTTTTACAAGGTCTTCTCTTCCAAAGAGTGCTGGTACCTTACCAAACTTCAACTCCCAGGATTCCATAGCATGGAGCCATGTCAGCTAAAGTGCTGTCACTTAGAATCACCTTTCTGTCTAAATCAGTGCCTCTGATCCAGTGTTTCTCAAACTGTGCTTCTCTAGGTGTTTTGGACTTCAGCTCCAAGAAATTCCAGCCAGTGTGCCAGCTGTTAGGAATTGTGGGAGCTGAAGTTCAAAACATCTGAAGGAGCACCGAAACTCTGCTCTAATTGGTACTAAGCTAAGGAGGACAAAACAACTTGAGACTTAACCCAAATAAGACAGGTGTTCCTCCTAGACTGAGAGCAAAGAATAGAGAAGTGGTTCCCAGCCTTTGGCCTTCCAAGTGTTTGGGACTTCAGCTCCCATAAATTCCAGCCATCATACCAGCTGTTAAGAATTGTGGGGGTTGAAGTCCAAAACACCTTGAAAATCAAAGGTTGGGAACCATTGGAATAGAAGATCAGATTGTGCTTGGATGGAGATACCCTCCCCTTGAAGATATAGATGTGCAGTGTACTCCTGAGTTCAATCTTGAGCCTAGCACAAATTTCTGTGATGGCTAGAATTCATTTGCTCTACCTATGATGACACATGCCATAGTTACAACCTGTTTGGATTACTGTAATATAATCTATATGTGGCTGCCGTTGAACAATATTTGCTAAGTTTAGCTTTTCACACTGCTAACCAAAGCTAGTCAAACACAGCATTGAACTCCCTTTTTACAACAGCTCCAGTGTCTATCAATGTTGTTTGAGGTACAATTCAAAATGCTAGTTATGACTTGGATCCAAGCCCTATACGGCATGGGTCCAAGTTATCTAAAGGACTGAATTCTCCCACATGAGCCTGCCCCAGTTTTGAGATTTTCAGACGAAGCTCTTCTCTGTGTCCCATTATTCTCACAGCAGTTCTGGTGGAAACATCAGAAAGAGCCTTTTAGATGGCTACACCCTGTCTGCAGAGTCCTTTCCTAGAGAGGCTAATCTGGGGACTTTCCATAGGGGTCAATCCACAGGCAGGTGATGATTTTCTTAACAGGCCTTTGGGAACTGACTGCTCATGGAGAAAGCGTTTTTAATAACATAAAGTACTATTTGACTTCAAAAAAATTGGGATGCTTGGAAATTATCTTTAAATTTTGAGTCTCTCTGTCCCAACTTATGAGATTCACTTTGGCATTTAGAAAATAAGCTTGTATGGTATGTATAACATGCCAGAGATCTGAACTGATTGCTCGCAGAGAGCTTTCAAAATCAGTCCAAGAATTAGAGGACTATTAGAGGGTTGCGTACTTTTTCTTCACATTTTTTTCTTCACATTCACAAGAGTCAAGATGTGCACCATTAGCAATTCTCAGATCTATCTAAGTCTCACTGGATATCTTCAACAAAAGCCCCCAACTCTATGTCTGATATAACAATAACAATGCTGGAGTATGAATATAGTAATAATTTTGTTTAATAAGTTCTACTTGATATGAAAAGTTCTAGTTACCTGATCACCACATCAAAGGAATCAATTGTCTCCCCCAGACTTTTGTTTCGAAGGACACCTCCATTGCCAACCACCACACATTTTTTGCAGGATGGACTGCTGAAAGATATTATGAATCATTCAAATTACTTTGGAGGGGGGCTAATTACAGTCTAGTTGCAACATTATTAGTAAAAATATACAAATGTAGGCATATTGGCAATGAGGGAGGAAAAAAATGGGTGACCCTGGGCAAGTCACTCCCCCTCAGTCTCTTCTGGACAAATCTTGCGCGCACACAAAACCTGCGACAAGGTTGTCTTAGGGTCACCATAGGTCAGAAACAACTTCAAGACACACAACAAACTTTGTCTATACTAGAAAGATATGGACAATCTACCAGGGACAGTTGAGAAAATCCACAGTAGACATACTGCCATTGTCTAAAATCCCACTCCCATACCTATGGGACAGAATTAATCTGGAGATGGTGGTAAGATCTGGATATTTTGGGTACTAGAATGCTTAAGATCATTTGGTACCCTGAGAACTGTATCTCAAAGTAACATATTATAGCCAACATCTCAATAACTTCTCAACCTTTTAATGAAAAGTATCAAGAGAGGCTGTTGAAAGTATTATTGTTGTTGTTGTTGTTGTTTATTTATACCCTGCTTTTTCTCTCCACAAAGGAGACTCAAAGTGACTTACATTAAAAGTATTTCCATACAATTAAAAATGAAAACAGATAACACACACTCTCACAACTCAAAACAGTACTAACTGGTATTCAGAATCCAGCTAAACCAAAGGTGGGAGTTGTACAGCTGCCACCAGCTCCAACCAGCATAGAAAATGTCTGGGATGCTGGGATGTCCAACACCATCTCAACAGACACTTGATTCTAACCACTAAAGTTATATTCAATGACTCTGTCTATAAAGTAGAAATTACATAAAAACAAAGACTTTATTTGTTGGCAAAGGCTTTCATGGCTGGAATCAATGTGTTGTTGTGAGTTTTTCAGGCTGTACAGCCATATTGCAGAAGCATTCTCTCCTGCCGTTTCACCCACATTTATGGCAGGCATCCTCAGAGGTTGTGAGGTCTGTTAGAAACTAGGTAAGTGAGGTTTATATATCTGTAGAATGTCCAGGGTGGGAGAAAGAAATCTTGTCTGCTTGAGGCAACTGTGAATGTTGCAATTGGCCACCTTGTTTAGCATGTAATGGCCTTGCAGCTTCAAAGCATGGCTGCTTTCTGCCTGAGGGAATCCTTTGTTGGGAGGTGTTAGAACCAACCTGGACACAGCATATTATTTGAGAACACAGAAATGCTGGACCACTCTAACAACTACCATGGCAGACTACACAGAGAAGCCATTGAAATCCACAAGCATGTGGACAATTTTAACAGAAAGGACGAAACCATGAAAATGAACAAAATCTGGCTACCAGTATTAAATAACTAAAATTAGGACAGTAAATATAGGGCAACACTCAAAAATAGGGGAATTCCAGACAAGAATAAATCAGGGCAAGCTGATACCTCCCAACAAAGGATCCCCCAGGCAACAATTAGCCAGACTTTGAAGCTGCAAGTCTTTTAAATGCTAATCAAGATGGCCAATTGCAACATTCACACTTGCCTCAAGCAGACAAGAGTTCTTTCTCCCACCCTGGATAGATATATGAACCTCACTTGCCTAGTTTCCAACAGACCTCACAATCTCTGAGGATGCCTGCCATAGATGTGGGTGAAACATCAGGAAAGAATGCTTCTGGAACATGGACGTGCAGCCCAGAAAACTCACAGCAACCCAAAGAATCTTTATTTTATTAAAGATTCTTAACTGCATAAACTCACCTATCATCTTCAGTAAACAGTCCACAATTACTCAGTTTTGAAAGTGCCAGCTGAAAAAATCTTTCTGAAACACAAATAATTTTTAATCCTTAATAACAATTAAATGCAATACAACTTCCCGGACATTTTTTAAACCAGTTAAAGCATTGGTAATCTGGAGCTCTGTATAGGATTTTCTTTCTTCCTTTTGAATTAATAGCAGGACAGCTCATCAGAGCATACTTAGCCAGCACAAATATTGTGTTAGGAGAGGGCCATAATATTGGAGTGGCAATAATTATTGGAGTGGCAATAAATAATAATCAGAATGAATAAAAGGCTATGTTCACTTCCTTTATCCATATTAATTAGCAATAATGTCTGGAAACAAACTGGAAAGCAGCCTGCACTTTTTCACCTTGACATGTACTCGAGTAAGTACACTGCAAGAAAGCTATGCTTTCATTTTCCAGCTGTTTGCAATCTTCTTCTGCAACTCAAACCTTTATTACAGGAGAGGGCAACTTCCAGTGGTCCAAGCTAATATGCAACCCCAGGGACCAACCATGGGTCACAGCAGACAAAGAAATGTGTATATCTTGCAACTTGTGGGAACTAAGACTAGAAAAACAATGTTTCATTTTTTGTTCTTGCAAACCACTGATGGTCCTTGGACCACAATTTGGGAACCACTGTTTTAGCATGAAACAGAACATACAAAGGCTTGGAAATGATCGTGACAGGGTGAAGGGGATGCAGCCTTCAAAGGGGAGGGGTGGGGGTTACATAGGGTCAGATTTGGATTTAGTGTCCCTGGTTTATAGCGAAGATTGCTATATGGAGACTAACTCTATACACTGAGGTCTAAATCTAGAATTTTCAATTCAAAAAGCCAAAAATCCAGGGCAGCTTATCCATATGTTCAATGTAAGTACTGAACCTTAACTCTTACCGTAAAAGGAATGACTCCCTTCTCTGAGTTGTGTGGCAAAGGGAGAGAGCTTAATCCATCCAGGGAAAACCTAAAAGAAGCACTGAACCCCTCAACTCTCTCTACAATGGCACTGCTTCTAGCCTTTTTAAATGTCTTAGTGGGAAAATGGCAATGGCCACCAAGAACTGCTCCCCACGCCCCCGAGTCAGCATTGGTACTTTCTCCTCTCTTCAGAATAGCCCTTGACTTATCCATGGAAGTCCCTGAACAGACTCAGAGGCGGAGTGGGCTGATCAAAAACAACCTGGCCAAATAGCACTATGTAGAAGAATCCTCCACCTTGTGCGACTGTGGAGCAAACAAACAACTCTGCATCTGTATGCTTGTCTACAATGCCCTGCCTCATGTTCAGAGGAAGAATTGTTTAAAGACAATATGGTCAAAAATTATTTAGCCACTTGTGCTCCCTATATTTCATCAATGTTATACTTACTTATTTATTATTTATTTATTTTCAAATATTTGTACCCTGCCCTTCTCAACCTCCGGAGGGGGACTCAGGGTGGCTTACAGCCGGCAACAATTCGATGCCCCCCACATACAAACAAATAAAACAGCAGTTACATAATAAGTGAAACATTAAATTAAATTAAATTAAAATCCATTTAAAATAATACTAAATTGGTTGGCCATAGTTTTTGACACAAAATAAATAAATCCAAGGATCATATACAAATTTTTAATTTTGGCCCTGAAGCTTGCCCTCAGAATATCACTGTATAACTGACCAAGGTCCGTATAACATTTTCAGTTTATATGCTCAGGCTAAAGTATAGGGGCTGTAGACTGAAAATGGATAATAGGAGTTGTAGCCCAGAAAGGAAAAGAGCAGATGTAGCGGTTTTTAGAAAAACAGCTCCCTCTCAAATTCTTTGTATGTGAAACTAGAAGATAAGACTAGTGTTTGGCTGCTGCTCAATCAAGTCAGGGTCAGCGCTTGAGATATGAAGTTCCAGTAAGTTTCCATCTTAAGCTATTTATGTATATAGAATAATGAGTCAATTAGAATACAATGAGCGAAGAATAAATCAATGAAAGAGACAAACTATAAACACCAATCAAAATTGTGTTGTTTGATTTGCTGTAAATGATAAAAGATTGCAGCAAATAAAGCCTTCTTCACTTGACTCAACTCTTCCTTACGTCCATCCCTGTGCTGCTCCCTTGACAGCAGAAGAGAAGGGAACCTCTGAGAGTGTGCAGAGTTCCCACTTCAAAAGAATTCCCATAATCATACTTCTGGGAACTACTACACGTAGTATCATTCAGAAATGGGGCTTTTACACGTGTCAAGTGTATCCTATTTGGCCTTACAGCAAGTAGTGGACAGCCTACGTAGGGTTAATGTAAAACACATGAGGCAATTCAAATGTCAGGCAATGCACACAATTACATAGAGATAAAAAGACAAAGAGGAATAGATTAAAACTGCAGAATGGGGTTGTGGTCTCTTCCAATTCTGATTTTGTGAAATACGGAAGAGCTTAGAATTCTCTCAGCTCATAATCCCCATTTTTTAAACCTGAAAAAGTAATTTTTCTACTCTATGTGTCAGTTTCAAGTGGCCATAGAAGAGCATACTCTTATATAGAAAGAGACACGGGATATTAGAATCTGCAACTTCTGAATTTCTACCTAAAATCTCTGCCTTTGCTTTGAGCCATAGGTAAAGGTAGAGATTTCCCCTGACATTAAGTCTAGACATGTCCCATTCTGGGCATGGTGCTCATCCCCATTTCTAAGCTGGAGAGCCTGCATTGTCCGTAGACTCCTCCAAGGTCATGTGACCAGCATGACTGCATGGAGCACTGTTACCTTCCTGCAGAAGTGGTACCTATTGCTCTGCTCACATTTGCATGTTTTCGAACCGCTAGGTTGACAGAAGCTGGGGCTAACAGTGGGAGCTCACCCTGCTCCCTGGATTTAAACCACCAATCTTTCAGTCAGCAAGTTCAGCAGGTCAGTATTTTAATGCACTGTGCCACCAGGGCACAATGTTTTCAGCTGCACGGCACACTGCTTTGAGCCATACTGTCTAATAAATACTGATACTTTCAAAAATATGACAACTCTCAAGAAAAATAAAAGGGCTACTTTCATAATTTAAGATTGCAAAATGTCATACTGAATGCTGCACATATCAGCAGTCCTTACCTGCTCTCCTTATTCCATAAGGTAATTCAAAGCTGAAACTTCCATGGAGCTCAGACACTTGCTGAAAATTATGAGAACACAGGAAGGGATAGAGCGCAGGAAACCTTGCTCGAGAAAAAAGGGTGAAAATGTTGTTTACATTTCCATTTATTGACAAATTTATATTTCATCCTCACGGGTATTATTATGCTAAAAGGGAAAACCAGTTAATGAAATAAACAGGTCAAGTAGAGATTTGCTAGCATAGAAAATGGAAAACAGCAGCAGCAGCTGTAAATGGAAGGAGGGGGAGATGGTGATTTTAAAGGTCGGCAGCAATGGCAGAAAGAAGCAGACAATCCTCGGTGACTCTTCTGGACTGTAGAATTAATGCAGTTTGAAACCACTTGAACTGCCATGGCTCAATGCTATGGAATCCTAGGATTTGTAGTTTGGTGAGGCACCAGCATTCTTTGGTGTAAAACCAAAATTTGCATGATTCCATAGCATTGATCCATGGCAGTTAGAAGTGTTAAACTACATTAGTTTTACAATCTAGATCAGGGGTCCTGAAACTAAGGCCCAGGGGCCGGATACGGCCCTCCTAGGTCATTTACCTGGCCCTCGCTCAGGGTCAACCTAAGTCTGAAACAACTTGAAAGCACACAACACCAACAATCCTATCGCATCAGCCAAAAACAGGCCCATACTTCCCGTTGAAATACGAATAAGTTTATATTTGTTAAAATTGTTCTTCATTTAAATTATTGTATTGTTCTAAAGTGTTTTTTGCACTACAAATAAGATATGTGCATTGTGCATACGAATTCATTCATGGTTTGTTTTTGTTTTTCAAATTATAATCCGGCCCTTCAACAGTTTGAGGGACTGTGACCTGGCTCTCTGTTTAAAAAGTTTGAGGACCCCTGAATTAGATGCACCCTCTTGTTGGAAATAGCAACCTTCTTCAGGCCTCCTATACTAGTTATTTGTTATGTATATAATTCAAATTGCTTACTGTATATGTGTGTATTGTATGCAGTTTTCCTTAACTCTGTGTTATGGGTGAGACTGCAGACCATGTGACCAGATCTGGGATTGTTCAGATCTCAAACTCTATTTTAAAAGTCAGCAGAAACAGAATGCTTTAGAGAACAGACACCATTAGACTCTGACTATAAATACTCAGACTCACAAAACAGAGAGATACTCTGGACTGTTGATTGTAAGAAAGATGTCCTGTGTTATCTACACAGAGAAACTACCTTCAAGTTCTATCTGTAACTGGATTGATATGCAATATACCTATATGATGAATACATGAAGTTTGTGAGTAAACTAACTATGTTATTTGAATGAAGGCTACTTTATTTTTGGTCTCTTGAGAGCATGATTTAAGCCAAGATGTTTTAAGAGAGAGTAGAAGTTTTTGGCCAACTGAAAGAAATGTTGAAACTGCTGTTTTTTGTGCACTGGCATAGTTTTTTTCCTAACAGTTCAAAGAGATATCCAAGGATTTCAGTCTAATAGTTGAGAAACCTATGTTGCCTTGCATGAATTCTGGTGGCTATTTACCACTAAACAGAAGGTAGACTCAAGCAAGTTGTTAACTCTTCACAGGAAGATCATACTTTACAAAAGGTTACTAGCTCTAACAAGGTCATGCCCTTTCCAAAAGTTATGATTATTCCAAATAGCGTGAATGCCAATTAATCTCCAAAAGGGCCATGCTTCCAAACCCTGTGGAGATTCCTGGTTTTCCCAAAAGGTTATGAATGCCATTTTCCAAAACCTCTGAGCCTCACAATTCATGAATGCTTAGCTTCAAAGGCCCTTGGTGTCATAGGAACAGTGACGTGAAAATGTGCCTGACTGCAGGCTGTTTTCCCAGTCACTTCTCCCATAGTGCTTTAACTCTGAGGATCCCAAAGCCAAGCATTTATGAAATAAGATTCCTTGAACCCAGCTGCTTCTTTCTCACATTGCTGTTGCCACTGCCATTCCTCCTATGATTGTTTGAACAGAGCTGATCAGAATGCCTGTGGTGCAGACTTTTCCATAACCAGCTAGCCAACTAAAAAAAAGATAAGATCTGAATTAAAAATAGAAGAAAAATATTTACACAACCAGAAATGATAGTGTTTTTTTAAAAAAACCCTAAATTTTGCTTAACAGCAGATACAGATGAAATTCTATAAAGTTTGTTAGTGACAGAAATAAAGGTTGCTTACCTGTAACCGTATTTCTTCGAGTGTTATTCCGTGAAATTCGCACCTATGGGTTTTCCCCTGCGCCTGCGCAGCAATCCGGATATTCTAAAGATTTAATGAATTTTTAAATGATTATTTTAAATGATTATTTACGGACGCGGAAGCCCCGCCCCTGTCCCCGCCCCCTTGGACGCCATCCGCCGCGGCGTGCGGCTCCTGGCTAGTTCCCCAGCGCTAAACAGCAGCCAGGTAAACGGCATGACAGAGGGGAGGAAGGGTGGGTCGTGCGAATTTCACGGAATAACACTCGAAGAAATACGGTTACAGGTAAGCAACCTTTATTTTTTCTTCGTGTATTCCGTGAAATGCGCACCTATGGGTGAGATAGCAAGCTACTGACCTGGAGGTGGGTCATGCCACACAGGAAAAAAGAACTGCCCTGCCGAAAGCGGCATCCTTCTTGGCTTGTATATCCAATTTGTAGTGAGAGGCAAACGTGGAAGGCGTGGACCACGTAGCTGCTCTACAGATCTGGTCCAGCGGCACCCCCCGCAAGAACGCTTGGGAGGTAGAGACCGATCGAGTGGAGTGGGCCACCAAGTGAGATGGTGGCTCTTTTCCTGCCAATTGGTAGGCTAGGCGAATCGTCGAAACGATCCAGGAAGCCAATCCCTGTGAGGACACAGGGTGGCCCAGAGTGTCTTTCCTATACTTTAAAAAGAGTTTGGGAGACTTCCTGTAAGAGGATGTCCTATGTAAATAAAACGACAGTGCTCTTTTAACATCAAGGGAGTGAAGGGTCACCTCCAACGGGGAGGTTGGGTTTGTAAAGAATGTTGGTAAAATAATGTCTTGTGACATATGGAAGTGGGAAACAACTTTTGGGAGAAACGTAACGTCGGTACGAAGAACGACCTTGTCATCATGGAATCTAATGTAAGGTGGGTCTGAGCGGAGAGCCGTGAGCTCACTGCTTCTTCTAGCGGAGGTGATGGCCACTAGGAATGCTGTCTTCCAGGAAAGGTGAGAAATATCATTGGAGGCCATGGGTTCAAAGGGCGGTTTTGACAACTGGGATAGTACTAACTCTAAACTCCATTGGGGGGCGGGAGGGGAAGCAGGAGGGTGGACATTTTTGTATCCTTTTAGAAACAATTGAACCAAATGGTCTTGAAAAAGGGACGGCAAGCCAGCTTTTCTTCGGAAAGATGAGATGGCCGCTAGGTAACATTTGACAGATGAGAGGGAGGAACATTTTTCGGAAAGGTGTACCAAAAAGTCGAGTACCACCGGGGTAGGTGCTGTAGTGGGGTCGTGTCCCGCTGATTTCGCGAAAGATGTAAAGAGGGACCATTTATAGTTGTATGACTTAGTAGTGTTCGGCTTGTGGGCGGCAAGAAGTATACGGGATACTGCCTCAGACACGTTCATTGAGGTTTGATCCTCCACGCCGTAAGGCGGAGGGATTGGAGGTCTGGGTGAAGTACCAGTCCGTTCTCCACTGTGAGAAGGTCCGGGGTGGAGTTGAGCTTGAGGAACTGACTGTTGGAGAGTAGGAGGAGTAGTAGGAGCCCCACCTTTGGCGTTGGTAGGGGTAGGGCTGCTGATCATACTTGTATACAGTTTGTTTCATCTTGTGGGAGTGCTCAAGTTGTGAATCAGTTTCAGGGTTAAAGAGGCCCGCCTCATCCATAGGGAGGTTTTCAATGAGGGCACGTTGTGACTGAGAAAGAATTGCAGCTCTCAGCCAGGCATGGCGTCTGAGAGCAACCGAGCCCGCAATGAGCTTGCCTGAAGTGTCAGCTGTATTTTTTGCTAGGTCTTTTTGTAGTTTGGCCAACAACAGGGCTTCTTGAGCAAAGGCCTTTGCCAGCGGTTGGTCAGCTGGTGGTAATAGGTCCAAATATGGGGATATTTTATTCCAAAGTAGGGTCTGATAGACACTCATATAGACCCCATAGTGTGCCATGCGGGCAAAGAGGCATGCTGAGGAGTAAAATTTTTTAGCCATAGAGTCCAATTTTCTCCCTTCTTTATCGGAGGGAGATGACTGGTTAATTTGGATTGGTTTTGGTTGAGCATCAGTCACTACAGAGTTTGCTTTGGGCATTTTGGACAGCCATGAGGCTGAAGATAAGTCAATACGGTACAAATTTTCTGCCCTTTTAGGGGTTGCTGGAACCAGAGATGGAGCAACCCCTGTATTTTTAGGGATTTTCAAGAGATAAGGCAACGTGGGCAACACAGTGGATGCAGGTGCCTGTTGTTCAGTAGAAGTAAAACATGGATCTGTGACTGTATCAGAAGGCTCTGGAGTGGTAAGGTTCAGGGTCCTTGCCAACCTGATCATAAGGGCTGAGAATTTTTTAAAGTCCTCCAAATGCTGAGGTGATGGGTCAGAGTCTGTTACCGGGTCCTGAATAATAGGAGTATCCTCAGTGGACTCCAAATCAATGGTGTCAGTCTCTGGCTGGAGAGGCATGTGAGGGTTATGAGAAAGTGGTTGGGGCTCCACTTCGGGGTGAGGGTCTGGTGGCTGAGAGAGTGTAGCCGTGGGTGGTACACGAGGAGGTTGTGGATATCTAGGGTCAGGGTATTGATAGGCATGAGACCCCCTAAAATGGTCGGGGGGGGGGGAGGGTAGTAGAAAGGGTATGGAAAAGGAGGTGGAGGGGGGGGGATAAAGGTGATAAGGGTACTCCTGGTACCCATAGGTTTGGTAGTGTTCTGGAGGAAGAGATCGCACCTTCTTGGGAGGAGGGTGGGAGGGGGTTGAGGGCTGGTTTGGATGAGGGGATGGGGAGCGCTGGCGGCGTCTGGGGAGTTGCGCCGAGGTGCTTGGTTGTATAGGGGAAGGAGTTTCCCCTGGTACCGGGGGTTGAGGAAAGCCTGGAGAAGGAGGAGGAGAGGTTTGAGAGGGGGGTAAAGGAGGGGGAGAGAGAGAGAGATCGGGTGGCTGATCCAGTTCCAGGTGGGGAGCTAGGAGCTCGAGAGGAGGGAGGTGGGAGGGGTCGTCCATTTCCAAAATGTTTGGGAGCGGTTCCTGCAACTGCAGGGTGGAACCGGGAAGGTGAGGCACCGTTTCAAGTATAGGGGGACTCAAGGGCTGAACACCAGTGAGTTGCCATCCCTTTTTCTGTTTATTTAGTTTCTCTTTCGTTTTTGCAGGCTTCGTGGCCTGTTTAGAAGGCTTTGATTTTTTTCTCGGCTGCTCCTCAAGGGAAGCATTTGCCTGAGTAGAATCACGCCTATCCCCAACGCGTGGGGAGGAAGGCTGAGCAGTTTCTTGAATCGGGGAGGATTGGGAGGGTGCGGGGAGCATCTGGGGCGCTAGGGCCCGCTCATACAATAAAGCTTTTAATCGGGCGTCTCTGGTTTTGCGAGCCCTGGTTGTGAAGCTCAAGCAAATTTCACATGTCTGGAGATTGTGGGTTTCTCCAAGACAGAGGAGGCATTTGGTATGCCTATCGGCCTCAGGGAGGTTAACTCCGCAGGCCGAGCAATTTTTAAAGTAGAGGGAAGACATCTAGCCTGTTTAGGAGAGAGAGTGGTCGAGCCGGTCCGTGTTCAGGAGAGGAGAAGGTAGGTAGCCAAAAAAACAGTCCAATGGTCAGGAAGATCTTAGTAATCGAGGAGTGAAGTCCGGAGATGCTGCCTGTTTGGCGCGGAAAAAGGAACTAGCCAGGAGCCGCACGCCGCGGCGGATGGCGTCCAAGGGGGCGGGGACAGGGGCGGGGCTTCCGCGTCCGTAAATAATCATTTAAAATAATCATTTAAAAATTCATTAAATCTTTAGAATATCCGGATTGCTGCGCAGGCGCAGGGGAAAACCCATAGGTGCGCATTTCACGGAATACACGAAGAAAAATTCTAGAAATACAGAGCCTCAGATATTCACTGCAGGACTAGAGGTCCTGCTTATTTTGCAGAAAGGGTGGGCAATATTCAGCCTTTGGGCTCCATACATCCTCTCAGGGGTTTTCCAGGGATAAAACATATTTTGCAAAAAATAAATACCCCTCGAGACACTTTTGCCAATTTATTATTATTTATTTTATTTGATCAATTTATATCCCGTCCTTCACAACCCCGCAGGGGACTCAGGGCGGCTTACAAAAAAAGCAACAATTTGATGCCACATTTACATACACAAGATAAAACAAACATATACATTAAAATCAATAGTTAAAACACATAAACTTAAAAAGAGTTACATTAAACATGACGCAGTCCAAAGGCATGTTCCAGGAGCCGTTCCATAAATTGTACTTTTCCATAGTTACTTATTTTGCAGATCACTTACTGCATTGCAGATTACTGTCCAAAGACTTTGGTCCAACAACCATGTCTTCACTTTCTTTCTGAAGTATAGGAGGGAGGGAGCTGGTCTAATTTCACTGGGGAGTTCCATACCCAAAGGGCCACCACTGAGAAGGCCCTGTCTCTCATCTCCGCCATTCATGTCTGCGAAGGAGGTGGGTTCAAGAGCAGGGCCTCCCCAGATTAACTTAATCTATGATATGGTTCATAGAGGGAGATACATTCAGACAGGTAAACTGGGCTAGAACCAGGACTTTGAATTGTAGTCGGTAGCTCTGTCATTAATTGAATTGTGCTCTGTCACTAACAAGGAATAGCTGTTCTCCTTGAAGGGGGGGGGGGGGATATAAAAATAAATAAATAAATAAATTATTATTATTATTATTATTATTATTATTATTTCCTATTGTCACAAGATTAAGATCAAGATTATAAAACCAAAATGTAAGTATTCCAGCCTATTTCAATATCAAGTCTGCCTGCAAATTGACTTTGCTTTTTTTGGCCATGTATGTGTGGCATATCTTTTGGCATCCGTGCTTAATGCTGAAATTCCTACTTTGTGTAATCCTTTCAGCTTGGATGAAAAGAGATGAGCAAGATGTTTAATTGTGAAAGGGGTCTGTTTTATTACATTGCCTGTGGAGGCCTACCATCCCAATAAAAACAACTTAGTTTATCGTGATCGTATCATCACCTTTCTGGATGTTGTCCCTATCCACCTACCTGCCCACTGGCAAGTTCAATTTTTCATTCTCCTCTTTGAGGTTTTGCTGTAGCCGAGACTCAGAACAAAGAGGAACCATTCCCTGCCAAAGTGAAGTCTTTTCTGGTTCTTTCTTCATCATGGTGGTTGTGACAGGAGGTGTCTGCAAGCGAGGGTGTTCCCGCCTGTCCAATTGAAAGTGCCAACTTTGATATATAGCTTCCCTGAAAATATACACCTTTCTATGCATGTAGATTTAATGCATAGCCTTTTTCTTTTTATTTTGGGTGTAATGTCACCACAGATTTACATCAATTAGCTGTCATGGCTTTATATCAATCACAACAGCCTTCCCAGATCTGGCATTGATTGGTTGTGGGGTCCCTGGATTGGAGGAAGTTTCCCATTCTTGGAGTAGACATGACTGATTAACAATTGATTGACAGTTTCATCTGTTACAGAAATCAATCAAACTAAAATCAAGGAATTTACTTCTAAGTAATTATTCTAGGTTATTGCACAGATTGAGAACCCCTTATCTGGAATTCCAAAATCCAGAATACTTCAAAATTGACCACCTGGGTAGCTTGGATAGTAGCACTTTTGCTTTCGGATTGCCCAATATACACAAACTTTGTTTCTTGCACAAAATTAATTTTAAAATATTGCTTATAAGGTGTATATGAGACATCAGTGAATGTCATGTTTAGATCTAGGTCCCATCTCCATGATTACATGTATCCATTATGCAAAGATTCCAAAATTCCCCAAATTTCAAAATATGGGATACAACTGGCTCCAAGCATTTCAGATAAGGGATACTCAACCTTTACTACAGGAAAAAGGAGAAAGCAGAGGTGGAATTTTTAAATATGTTAATTGTAACAAATATACAAGTAATTTGATGAAAAGCACCACGAATGGTGAAAAAGTAGTTGCTTCTTAATAAATACAGCTGCCTCCAAAGCTGTGTAGATCCAAACATATTTGCAGTAGTATAAACCAATTTCGACTTGCAGGCAAATTTGATATTGAATTTGATATTGAAATACAGATACTATCATTTTTGCTATCATTGTCGTTATTGTTGTTGTTATTATTATTATTATTATGTGTGCAATACTGGTGAAATAGAATTATTTCAAGTAGCTGATCATAAAGTTTAGCACAGGAAAATTACACTACAATATTGCTTAAGCATTTCAATGCACTGATTTTTTCTATATCAAACTACTACAATGTATTCAGTACAGGGATCTAAGCCTGGAAAGTCTGCTTTAAAACAACACTCAACATCCCCCGTGAGTAAACATTGGCTGGGGCATTATGGAATCTGCAGCCCAAAAAAGTTACATTTCCAAGAATCTGTGCTTGCAATTCTCAACTTGAGATTTTTGTAAAACAATTGATTCTGGTTTAAATTTGTTACTGACTTTACTCAGAAACTGTTGGAGCATGTAAGAAATCAGTTAATGTGCATGTGTCAACTGTAAAATAAGATGCACGAAGCTGATTGGTTAGGCTATGCCTAGGGAGATGGATGAGCCTGAAACTTCTGGATGCTATTACATTTATGTTGAGGCTTGAGCTAGCAGGTGCAGACAGTTTTTGAAGAGAGAAGCAGAGAGAGACAGAGTTTGGAGTGTGCTCTCGCTTTATGAGCTGCTGAAGGAGTTTAGCCATATGGACAAAAGAAAGACTATTTTAAATCTCTCATAAAAAGGGCATTATTTGAGTTGATACAACTGATCACATTGTACATATGTTATTCTGAACTAAGAAGAGTAAAAGACTTGTTCTTGACTGTTCATCTGTATGGTATATTTTCTTTAACAGGCAAGGAGGTGTGGGCTGAACAAATGTGAACTACACATGGTTTATTTTACATTATGCCACAGTAACCATTTAATAGTGTACTATGAACCATTCACAGAGAATGAGAATGAGTAATGGTAAAGAAATATCATAAAAACAGTATGTCTACCTACTATAGTTCTTCAGTATCAGGCATCAGATTTAATATTCTAGAAAGACATCTGAGGTCCCTTCCAGACAGGCCCTATATCCCAGGATCTGATCCCACGTTTTTGCTTTAAACTGGATTATATGAGTCCACACTGCCAGATAATCTGGGATAAACAGAAAACCTGGGATCAGATCCTGGGATATAGGACCTGTCTGGAAGGACCCTATATCCATGATATTCAGCATCCTTTTTTAGTTTGTTTTATTATTATTTTAAGGATTTGTGCTTCAGACACAGACAACTGAGTCCAGGCTTTTTGTGTTGGGCTGCTGCATCAATGGAGTCACGACTGACATAAACTAAGAAAAAGCAAAAGTGCTCCAAGCCATAGAAATCATCTGACTCTTTAATGACCAAAATATATTAGGAATCAGTCTTAGACCATCAACAACTTTTTTGAGAGTGGAGTATAGCCAAAATTAGCACATAATGACCACCAACAAAATGGACTGATAAGACCCCTTTTGTCCTTACTTTACTAAAGTTGAGTTGCTGGGTTTGGGAGTGCAAGGCATTAGTTGCATTTTTCTGTCGAAATCTGTAGGTGGCAGCCTAGAACAAAAGAAAATATTAATAGAGAAGTCTAACAAAAATGGGAAATATTCGTTTATTAATACACTTTGTTAATAAAATCCACTGGTCTATTCATTTATATTATGTATGTGTAATATGGAAAACAATTAGGTGGACATTGTTTGTCCTGTCATGTTACAAACTGAGTGGATGGATTTGTTCACTCACCTATGACTCTAACACAGGCATGGGCAGACTTCGGCCCTCCAGGTGTTTTGGACTTCAACTCCCACAATTCCTAACAGCTGGTAGGCTGTTAGGAATTGTGGGAGCTGGAGTCCAAAACACCTGTAACATATTGTGTCACGCATTTATAATAATTTATTTTTTCTTCTGTGCAAGCAATATCAAATACATTACAAAATTTACTAATTTCCAGTGTGGTGGTCATATTGGCTTGCCACAGCAAAAACATCATGTATGAAAAACTAAAAATATAGATTTTATGTAAAATTTGCATATACCATGCATCTGGTTACATGGCCAGCAATCCTTGAAAGCTCACATAAAATGGAATTTATCAGTCTTTTAGGGAACCATGGGTTCTTTTTGCCTGGTAATTTCCTTAATATGGAAACACCATTTCAGGTTAAGCCAGGAAATTCCTCATACAACCTTACAAATAATAATGAAGTAATGAGTAATTATTACAGCAATCATTATATAGAATCACAGTCAACTGTTTACCAAAAATTAGTAGTCATTCCTGTTAGCTCAAAACAGAATAATTGAGTTCATTGTTGAATGACATGTCAAGACACTGGTTCAATGAGTATATTTAACTGGAAATTAGAAATAAAATTCAGGCCATTATTCTCCACAATACAGTACTAGGCCCTCTTTATCCCTGGGTTCTAGATTTCTGGATTCATTTATGGTAAGCATGCTCAAAAATATTCATGAAAACACTCCAAAAAGCAAAGCTTGATTTTGTCGCATGCCAAAGCACTAAAGTGATGTAGGAACGCCCTGCTGTAGCCTCCCACATTTCACAGATCCTCAGGCTCTATCTGGCACGTGTTCGAGTTGTTCATTTTTATATAAAAGTTATGTGGTTTTCCTACGCCAGTCTATATAATGTGACTGGAACATCCACAGATTTTTATATTCGTGGTGTACTGAAAACGAACTTCAATTGATACTTAAGGTCTGCTGTAGCATTTGGCCCCTAATTACACCTAAGAATAACTAACAACAAGTTACTTTCAAATTCTGATGCAGACTTATCTGAGCAAAGGCCTATAAATATCAAGCAGAGAAGAAGAACCATTTGAAAAATGTATATATGAGGGTTATCCAGAAAGTAAGGTTACAAGGCACGTAGCTCTTGTGGGGAATTTTTGTGGGGGAAGTTGGAATCACTGCCGTGTAGTGAAAAGCCAGTGTAGTGGAAGTGAACAAGCAGTGCCAGTCATCAGTAGCTCACTGACTGGCGTTGTGGTGAAGGTTAGAGATGAGTGTCTGCATTCCCTTTCCTTCCAAGTGTGAAGTTCGTGCTGTAATACGCTACGTAAATGCTAAGGGCATGAACACCACTACGATTCATTGTGAAATCATTTCAGTTTATGGAGAGGACGTAATGTCAAGACAGCATGTGACAAAATGGATACGGTATATATTGTGACATCATAAAGAAACTTCTCAGAGCCAACCAAAACAAACGTTGTGGGATGCTGACAGTGGGAGACTGTCTCCTTCATGACAATGCACATCTGCACACCGCTCAAGCAACACAAGAGTTGTTGACTTCATTTGGTTGGGATGTTTTAAGCCACCCCTCTCAGAACCTTGATCTCGCACCCAGTAATTATCATCTGTTTACTAAATTGAAGGAACATCTTGGTGGAAAACACTTTTTTGACAACAATAAGATGAAAATTGAAGTGACGAACTCTCTGAAAAAGGCGGAGGAAACAACAGATGAAAAAAATGTATTGAACTTAATGATTATGTGGAAAAATAATGTAATACCTATGCTGCAATCCATGTAAGTTTTATTAAAACATATTCATTCTTTGTATTTTTTAAAAAATCTTGTAACCTTACTTTCCAGATAACCCTCATACAAAGGAGTTGATCTCTGTGTGGTATTTATTATACAAGACCAGTCACTAACAAAAAACACTCAAACAGCAGAAATTTAGTGGGCAGCAAAATAAGGAGGCTTTAAAAATGGCTTTCTCTTCAAACATTTGTTTATTATCCTGTTTTTTATAATTAATGGCTGCTCTTTAGGCACAGATATATGAACCTCAGTGGCTTACATAAAATAATTTATATTTACATCACTCAATGAAAACTGACAATGAAAATCGTCATGAACAGTGTGTCTTAAACTGCACTGTACAGCACACAATCACTAAACTCTCTTTAAATAATTAAAGGGCATGTACATATAATCTGGGACAGGTTTCTATCAAGATGAAGCAAGGATATAATTGTCAATTAAGTCCTGCCATCTGTCTGGGAAAAATGAACACCTGCCTATCGTATAAATGTCACGCTTACAGTGCTAGCTTCCGCTGTGATGCTACAGCTAAATCTGCATTTTGCTTTTGCTTTGCCAAGGCAATTCCTCTCAAACATGTTTGCCAATTAAATAGAGCAATATCTGTTGCAGTTATTAAATAAAACAGACAATTGCAGAGGTTTTTCATACAGCTGAGAAACTTGTGGAGAACTCTACAATTAATACTCTGTTTTTCTAGGAAGAAATGGACATTACCAATAGCCGTTGGTCCTCCAGAGGTTGCAATGTAGTATAACATACATCACTCCAGCAGCCAGGAGAATTGCAAGTATGATCCGTCTCATGACTGACCTGCCTGAAACACATAATTAGAAAGGCTGAGTTACTGTTACATGCAGATATCACATTTTGATGAATACACAGTAAAAGGCAAACTTATTTATCAGGGCTGCTGATTTGTTATTTTTCATCAGACAAGACATTTTCTGGTCATAGTGTTTTCTTGACTTGGAAGATTTTCAGTTCCGTTTGACTTACTTAATACAAAAATGTTAATTGACATGAATGCTTATTAAAATGATATAATCAGTAGATTTCAAGTGCATCTATACATTGGCTATAAGCACTAAACAAATCTTACCTAACTTTTATTTATTCATTATTTACTTTATTTCTATCTCGCTCTTCTCATCCTTGCAGGGGACTCAGAGCAGCATACAAATGACAATTTCCAAGACCGCATATTCAACACATAAAAATACAAAACATCAATGCAATAGTTAAAACATATAAATATAATCAAACAATTGAAACATAAACCCAGTCCTGTGGTCGTAATTTGCATGCTACATTGTGCTGGTTCTGTGTATCCCTACCCAAACGCCTGATTGCAGAGCCAGGTCTTCACTTATTTCCTGACCATCAGGAAGGAGGGGGCCAGTCTGATATCACTGGGGAGGGAGTTCCACAACCAAGGGGCCACCATAGAGAAGGCTCTGTCTCTCGTCCCTACCAGTTGTGCTTGCAAAGGGGATGGGACCAAGAGCAGGGCCTCCCCCATGGATCTTAACTTTCTAACAGGTTCATAGGGAGAGGTATGTTCTCTCCCTGTGAACTTCCTTTGCTATATATCTGGGATAAATAAATAACATTTTGTAACTGGACTTCTTTGCAAAGCAATGACCCACACCAAAGTCTGCTTTCTCTTGGCACCTGTTTTGGCAGTAATTTTATTCTTTTGCTACCTTGCTCAGCTTCCAGCTAGTTCCTTTCCCGTCCTCCTTGTTAATATTTTCTCTAATACATACAATTATACACCACATTTCACCAATTTGAAGCCCAAAATCGAGGCTCCAAAGTTGGCAGCATCTTAGAATTGGTGGCATGTTTTTTTAAAATAATTCACATGCTTTGCTGTCATGACAGTTTCACTTTGGGTAGGAAACCCGTACTCTCTACTGAAAGAAATGATTTAAAGATCCTGCCTGTTCTGCTGAAATAAGTGTATTAAAGATTGTATCTGCTCCATTGAAAGAAGTGATTTAAAGATTCTGCCTATGGCATTGAAAGAACTGAACTAAAGACCTTATATGTTATGTTTTTCTACATCTGCTGTGTTTCTCTTCTGTTGTTACTATGTTGAATTCTATTGTTATTAAAATATTGGTTAAGTGCATTTCAGTGTGTTATCTGATTCTCAAAAATCATCATTAGAAATTCAGCACTTTAATCCAGGGAAATTCTTTTCTTTTGTAGTCGGAGCTCCAAAATCAGGTTGTGCCTTAAAATTGGGGGGGGGGGGGGACTATTCCTGACGTTGGGGCAATATAGAGCTGCATCTTACAATTGGTGGTATCTTACAATAGGTGAAATAGGATAGTTCAAAGAATTCTTCTCTTAAAGAATAGTACGCCATTCCCATAACATGGCAAGTCTCTACAGTGCATGCTGTTTTTGTGTGTTTTTCTACATTTATATCCCACCCTTCTCACCCTGAAGGGGACTCATAGTAGAAGCTCAATTCGATGCTTTGAATACATATAAAAATAAAACAACACAAACTTTAAAATCACATAATTAAAACAGTTAAATTAATTACTTAAAATCACACAGTCCAAAAACATATGCCAGGAGCCATTCCAATTGTCATTGTTCATTATTACACTGAGAAATTGTTGCTGCACTGGGAATCATTGTGCAAACGCTTGGTGCCACAACCAGGATTTAACTTTCTTCCTGAAGGTCAGGAGGGAGGGAGCTGATCTAATTTGCTTTGAATGTGATTTTCCTGCTTCTTGGCAGAATGGGGTTGGACTGGATGGCCCATGAAGTCTCTTCCAACTCAACGATTCTATGAATCTATGATTTCCCTTGGGAGTTCCAAAGCCGAGGGGCCACTATCGAGAAGGCCCTGTCATCCCCGCCAGTTGCATCTGTGAAGGTGGTGGGATCGAGAGCAGGGCCTCCCTGGACAACCTTAACCTCTGAGATGGTTCATAGGGGGAGATACATTTGGACAGGCAAGCTGAGTTAGAACCGTTTTACATCATATTTAACATCAAACTATTTCTTATAAATGGGGGGAAATTATACAAGGACTTTAAGTTTGGGAGGTGAAGCTTGCTAAATGAAGAGCTAAAGAACATTAAAACGCCAAACTCCATGAAAGGATCAGGAAAAGAAGAACAATCTCCTTCTTTACTACAGCACTCTGTGATAATGCATTTTAGGTCTGTAAATAAATTGTATCAAGTACAGAGGCTTTTTTAATGAGTTCCATAAAGCATGAATAAATGAGTACAAATGGTTATTGCCACTGTACAATAAAAATGGGTTATGAACTGTATGAGATCTCACAAACTCTGAAGATGCCTGCCATAGATGCAGGCGAAATATCAGGAGAGAATGCTTCTGGAACATGGCCATACAGTCTGAAAAACTTACAACAACCCAGTGATTCCGGCCATGAAAGCCTTCAACAATACATATGAACTATATAGCTTCCAGGTGACAAGGGGCTCAATGTAATCAAAAAGTTGAGCCCTTCCTCCAGGCCCCATTCTTCTTCTGATGTTATCTGCCTGCTCCCCTAGCCTCTGTTTCCCTTTCTTCATGCACAGTCACAGAGTTTTATGTCTTGAAACCATTTATGTTTCAGCCTTTGCTGAATGTTGACTTCTTTCATTTTAACGGAAACATTCTTTTGCACATTCGAGTTATCTCATGGATTTAGACTGGTGGGCTCTCTTAATCACATGATTTCAAAAAAATCTATAAAATGATCAAATACTATAATCTTGTATCTGTTTTACAAAGCTGTTAACTGCTCAAAGCATTTTTTTGTGCATTAGTTCAACAATCCAACAATCAAATCAGAACCTTTGTAAGCAGTTATCACTGGCCAGGTATTTCAGATAGTAATACATTCACAAAAGAAATGCTCAGAATTTGATGAGTTGCCAATTTGGGGACTGTTGTCCATGTTCTTGTCACAGAACTAACAATGCTTGGCAATTGCATAGGATTATGCTAATTAGATTCTTATCTATAACTATACAAGAACAAGCTGATCTCTCCTATGCCTGCCTAGCTTTAGTCACATTTTATGATACTTCCTAACATACAACGAAAAGAACATTACAGCCCAATGGCACATTGAAGGTTACCAAATGCACTGTGGCAATGTCTCTCAACCTGGGGGTCGTGAGGGGATTTCAGGGGATCGCCAAAGACCAACAGAAAACACAGTATTTTCTGTTGGTCATGGGCGTTCTATTTGGGAAGTTTGGCCCAATTCTATCATTGGTGGGGTTCGGAATGCTATATGATTGTAGGTTAACTATAAATCCCGCAACTACAACTCCCACATGTCAAGTCTATTTTCCCCAAACTCCAGCAGTCTTCACATTTGGGCATATTGAGTGTTTGTGCCAAGCTTGGTCCAGATCTATAATTGTTTGTGTCCACAATGCTCTCTGGCTGTAGGTGAACTACAGCTCCAAAACCCATGGTCAATGCACACCAAACCCTTCCAGTCTTTTCTGTTGGTCATGGGAGTCCTATGTGCCAAGATTGATTCAACTTCATTGTTGATTGGTTCAATTCCATTGTTGGTGAAGTTCAGAATCCTCTTTGATTGTAGGTGAACTATAAATCCCAGCAACTGCAACTCCCAAATGACAAAATAAATACCCCACCCAAAAAACCCCACCAGTATTCAAATTTGGGCGTATGGGGTATTTGTGCCAAATTTGGTCCAGTGAATGAGAATACATCCTGCATATCAGATATTTACATTATGATTAGTAACAGTAGCAAAATTACAGTTATGAAGTAACAATGAAAATAATGTTATGGTTGGGAGTCATCACAACATGAGGAACTGTATTAAGGGGTCACGGCATTAGGAAGGTTGAGAACCACTGCACTATGGCCTACATTGGGGGAATGGGCTAAAAGCCTTTTATTCTGATGCCTCAAATGATATCCTCAGTTGATAACTATTTTTGGATTAGATTTTAAAAACATTTTAAAATACTGTCTGAACTCTCTTGGCTCTGCTTATTACCACTGTGCTGTAATGTATCATCACCAGTTTTGAAGCACTTATTTTTTTTTCTATGTGCTGTACAATTATCATTTTTCAAAAGTAAAATTTTATTTGAGAAAAAAGAACATAATAGAATGGCAGTAGTGGTACAAACAAATAAGATTTTGTGTTGCCAAAGGCTTTCAGGACTGGAATCACTGGGTTGCTGTGAGTTTTCCAGGCTGTATAGCCATGTTCCAGAAGCATTCACCCACAGCTCTAGCAGGCATCCTCAGAGATTGTGAGGTCTGTTAGAAACTAGGCAAGTGAGGTTTATATATCTGTAGAATGTCCAGAGTGGGAGAAAGAACTCTTGTCTGCTTGAGGCAAGTATGAATTTTGCAATTGGCAACATGAATTAGCACTTGCAGCTTCAAAGCCTGGCTGCTTTCTACCTGGGGAAATCTTTTGATGGGACAAAGGTATATATCAAATGATATGCCTGGACAGAGCATATTATTTGAGAACCCAGAAATGCTGGACCACTCTAACAACTACCATGTCAGACTACAGAGATAAGCCATTGAAATCCACAAGCATGTGGACAATTTCAATGTAAAGGAGGAAACCATGAAAATAAACGAAATCTAGCTACAAAACTCTAAAATCAGGACAATAATAAACACTAAAGCAATGTTCAAAAAAGAGGGGGGATTCCAGACAGGAAACAATCAGTGCCAGATAATACCTCCCAAAAAAGGATTCCCCCAGACAGTAAGCAGCCAGACCCTGAAGCTGTAAGACCATTCAATGCTAATCTAGGTGGC